GTCAATCAATTAAATAAAACTATTGTCAGTATTACTGAGATTTTATTAATATAGATAGGTTTCTAAGCTGTAACCAGTAACACATGCTTTAAAAAGTAGAACATTTGATGCATTATTAGAATTATGAATCTTAAAAATACATTCATTTTAAATTTATAAAAAAATGCTGTTTTTTTAAACTAGAGCTCCACAAGAAAGAGAGAGAGAGTAAATGTAAACATAATAAATATTTAATAAATTAGATTAAAATAAATATCCATACATTTATCTTGAAAAGTCAATTGAAAAACTACATAGGCTTATACCTAAATCCCACTCCTTTTAAAAATAAAACAAATAATCCAATACAGAAATGCATTAAATGGCTAAGAATACAGTAAATATATAGCAAACAACTGTTAAATATTTAATGTAAACTGCATGATAAATTAATGATATGGTAGCTACATACACTATACCTGATAAGGTGAGAACCAGCAGGAGTAATTTTCTCATCTTGCCAAAAATCTTCAAAGAGTTTCTTCTGCAAAGAGATGATTTAATAATAAAAACAACATAATTCAATATCTGTAGTATTTATCGTAAGAATAACTGTCAAGACATGCTAATTAAAGAGAGGACTAAAACAGAATAGAAAAAAATGTTTCGGTACAATTAGTTTTACATTTTTTAAATGCATTAAAATGTATTGTTTTCCACCCAAAACTATTTCAGCATGTTTTTAATTGTTAGTATGAAACAAAATAACAAAATATATTTTTCACAACACAAAATGTTTCATTGATTCATTCAACATTCAAAATTCAACATTTTGTGTATATTACATACCATGCATCATTTTATTACAGTTATTCTCAGTGGCTTTGGTGCATTTCTCACATTATTTACATTTGCACAACAGTTAATGCATTTCTCAATAAAGTCATTTGTGCACATCACAGTAGCAGTTTCTTATTCCTTCCAACAAATTGCAAATGCTTTTGGACATGCATCAATTGCTTTCATACAACTTTCATTGTTTTATTATCATTTGCTTATGTCATGTCAGTCAAAATGAACTAAACTTGTGAATGCTGAATAGTCATTTCTTATAAAACTAATAGTCCTCGCTTCATTACTTGAATCATTACATACAAAAATGTTGTCTAAATGTTTTAACTAGTTGTCAAAATCTGTCTAGCAAATCTTATAACATTTTAATTTCTTTTTTTTTTACTGAAAATGTCTAAATTAAACAATTTGATGATTTACAAAATGATTTACAGACCTGTTGTGAACCTGTTCAGTTCCAATATGTACTGCAATATTGTTTACAGTTGTGCACAGCTCTACCCAAATGAAGTTTCTGTTTGTTGTAAATAAGGGTGTGTTTATTCTTTTGCACAATGCTGTGAATAAATTAGAATTGTAAAGAGCAGATGCAGTAAAAAAAGTGAAACATGCATATTCAGTGTCTTGTACTCAGATTCCACACTAAACTCAGTGATGTCCAACTTTACTGTAATTTTCAAATGGTTGTGCTAATAGTATATAGTGCTGTCTTGAGCATTTTCAGGAAGTGTCTCCAAAATCGGACTTTTTTGCATTGGAATAAATGTCCAGTGTAAACTGTCATAATGAAATCATGACGAAGCCATTTGACTATCTTGTTCATAAACAATGCAGGACTGTTCATCCTGATGACACTGACACTATTGACTCGAATACTTGCTTTTGAGGAATGAGCTATCCATTTTGAGCAAGTGACATGCTTTTGCAGGTTATCAACTAGGTTTTGCAGTTTGTGCTAATTGTTTTGAGAAATGCATTAACTGTTGTGCAAATGTAAATAGTGTTGTGAGAAATGCACAAAAGCCACTGAGAAAAACTGTAATGTCAAACCATTCATTTGCTTCTTTTTTTCATTTGATTATATTTGATTTGCATATATTTTGATTTAGTTAAGCTGATGATTTATTATTTTATTTATATTTAACCCTTAAATATAATTTCTCTTAAAGAAAGAAAGATAGATTAATAGAACAATAAATGGATGGATGAATGAATGAATGGATGGATGGATGGATGGATGGATGGATGGATGGATGGATGGATGGATGGATGGATGGATGGATGGATGGACAGACGGACAAATAGATAGAATGATAAAAATAACGATAGATAGAATGATAGAATTATAGATAGAACGATAGATAGATAGATAGATGGTGAGATGGATAGATAAATAGATAGACAGACAGATATATAGATGGATGGATGGATGGATGGATGGATGGATGGATGGATGGATGGATGAATGGATGGATAGATGGAGGGACAGATGGACAGATAGAACGATAGATAGATAGAATGATAATTAGAACGATAGATATAGATAGTTAGATAGACAGACAGACAGACATAGAACGATGGATGGATGGATGGATGGATGGATGGATGGATGGATGGATGAATGGATGGATGGATGGATGGATGGATGGATGGATGGATAGACAGTCGGACAGATAGAACAATAAACAGACGGACGGACGGACGGACGGACGGACAGACAGACAGACAGACAGACAGACAGACAGACAGACAGACAGATAGACAGACAGATAGATAGACAGATAGATAGATAGATAGATAGATAGATAGATAGATAGATAGATAGATAGATAGATAGATAGATAGATAGATAGATAGATAGATAGATAGATAGATAGATAGGTAGATAGAACGAACAACAGACAGGCAGGCAGACAGACATGAGATACAAGGTAAGTTCTTCTCACCAGTGCTGATGTTGTAGGTCTGTATTGACTCTCGTGTGTTTCTGTGCTCTGAGCTCAAATCTGTCCTTCTTATAACGGATATTTATGAATTTTTAAATGACTTCTGTCATCACGTGCCTGAGATAACAATAATATTGCTTTCGCTATTACATTTCCTTATTGTTTTATTGCTAACTTTGAAGTTTGGACTTCTACATTACTTCAGTTTATAGTTCAGCATTGTTCTGCTTTCATTTGCTTGTTTGCTTTAATCACATCATTTTTTGAGAGGGATTGACTTTGATACTTCAAATATATTTTTCTAACATACTACATTGTTACCTTTAGCCTATTATGTATAATGTGCTGTCCATGTGTGTATGAGAGCATATGGATAGCATCACATGTGGACTTTACAGCAGCACAACAACTGACGCTGTGGACAGGTGCTGTGTGCATTGGCTATATCAGAATGCAGTGTCACACAGAGGAAAGTATACTATGGATAAAGCAGCTGTCAAGACTTTCATAAGCACAAGTCTCGCAATGAGTGTAAGGTCTCAAAAGAATCACACATGAACAATGCATCCCTGTTCTTCTGAAACCCAACCACAATGGAGAAAAGCAGGGCAAAGCTATAATACCATCTGTGATTATCTTAGTTGCACATGTTTGGGTTCTTCAGAATTGTACGGGGAAAAAACAACTGTAATATGCAAATCATTCCCTTGGAAGAGTAACCCATAAAACATGAAGCCAAAACGCATGGCACCACTAAATGACCACTGTAAATAAAGATCTGGCTCATAAGGCTGGTTTAGGCTTTATTTTTATTTCATTTTTACAGCCAAGGTAAAACGTGAAAATGTTTACCTGCATTAAGGACATCGATTGACCCTCAAGGCCAGTTCAATCACCAATAATGATACAATTCTAAACATCTTTCTTGAATATGAAGGAATAGTCATATTTAATACCAAAAATATATATGTAATACTAAAAGTCATATAAGAAATAAGATGCATGCATCACTCAAAGGCAAATGAGTAAAAATAAGTTAGATTTAAAGGCATCCAATGATGGAGAAATTTTAATGTTTAGAGGGAGACTGTTCCAGAGCCTTGGGGCTGCAACAGCTCGATCACCTTTTGATTTGCAGCAAGACCGAGGAACAGACAGAAAAAACTGATCATGGGACCTTAAAGGCCTACAAGCTGTATATGGCCTAATAAGTTCACAGATATAGACCGGGCAGATTAGCCATTGACTTCTTCCAGAATTGCAAGTGCATTTTTTTTCATTTATTTTCCTTAAACTGGAATGATATACAACAAATGTGTAATTAACAGCAAACTGAATGCTTAATAATGATAGGGGATGCTTGAGTCTGTTGCAAAATGTTGTTTTATTTATTATTAGACGTTTCAAAGTTGAGTAAAACAGAGTTGTCGTTTTCTACCATTTTGTGCTTTTGTTCAAGATGCTAACCTTAAACCAGATACACACAAAATATGTATTTGTGTATATTTTAGTATTATTTTAAAAAAATGAATGAGAAATTCTCTGAAATGTTGCAAAAACAGAGTTGACGAATAATAAATCTATTGTTAACGTATCCTAAATATTCTGTACACATTAGACGAATAGTGTAACACCCCAATCTTTTCCCCCCAGAGTGCTTTAAAGATCGTCTTTTTAATGCAACAGAGTTGACCAGAAAGTAGGGACAGAAACGAAATGTATATATTGCAAATAAAGCTAATAATTAATGCATTGTTTTTACTTCGTAAACACAAAAAAGATGAAAATTAATTTTTAATTTTAAGCTAAAGTTTTCAAAAAAGTCCCTTAATACACAGAGACACAGATATAACTTTTAAAAGAATTTCGTATTACTTAAAACTGTTTCATTAATTTTTTTCGTTTTTTTTTTTTAAATACTAAAATCCTATTGCAGACGCAAAATGGCCCTCAATTCTACCCACTGCTCTTACCAGTAAACAATGAGGATGGAGTAGGTTATATGTTTTATACTATTTTTTTATTTATTTTATATTTTACAGCGAGAAATGACGTTTCGATATTTTAAAACTATCGTTACAAAATATCAGTTACCCCATGCTGTACTGATCATAGGGTACAGACATGTTCATATGCGAAGAGCAGCAGCACGTGTCTGTTCGAGCATCTGTAACGTGCACGCGCATGCAGCGTTCTGACGAGCGCGCGCAAAGCATCTTCAACAACTTTCAGAAGCGCGCGCGAGAGAAGTTTCCACATGCTCCTGCAGCAGCCGTACATCACGAAGATGAAAACAAAACAACTACTAACCTCTGCTCTTCTCCTGCTTATTTACAGTAAGTATCATGATGTTTGCTCAATATCTGACGCTCTTTTCTCAAATGGTCTTTCAGTTTCTGAACGTTGTATAAGAAAGTTGTATTTCTGACACTGGCTGAAATGGTGGGAACTGTGAGGGGTGATAAGTTTACTAAAACTTTCAAAATGCGTATGGTCTATGCATTGTATTTGTAATTAAGGCTTATTTTATTTCGTTGTATATCTTTTTTAATTTTGACATTTAAAACATTTAAAAACAACTGAGATAACAATTGGCTGATAACATCGAGTGACCTAAATGTTGATTTTAAATTAAATTAATAATTTTAAATATAATTTAAAATGTTACAAATAATTTAATGTGTACAGATGTTTACAAATAGATAAATATTTTTATATTGATTTTTATATTTTATATTTGTTTTTATCTTTTGACACCAGCAGCCTGTCAATCGGTATCATTCACTGTGTGTGTGTGTGTGTGTGTGTGTGTGTGTGTGTGTGTACTGGTTTTGGTGATTTATAAAGACATTCATTTGTATAACGACATGGGTATTGTACTCTATTTAGTTGTACTAATTGAGAATACATTAAAGATATATATATTTTTTAACTGTATAAAATACTTTACGTATAGAGTTCTTGTAATCCACCAATACCAATTTGTGTGTTTGTTGGCACACAGGGTTCATGGAAATGTGTATCACAGATTTGTATGATGACATTGCTATTAGAGCATAATATGATTTATTTAAATTTCGAAAATTTCTAAAGTTTTCTGTGAGGGTTATGTTTATAGGGATAGAAGATAGTTATACAGTATAAAAATCATTACATCTTTGGTGAGTCCCCATAAACCACATTTTCAAGTGTTTTTTTTTCAAAGAAAGATGCATGCTTTGAGGGTCTGGATAGGGTGGGTGGGGATCTTGTAAGACACTGTTTACACAAATGTCTTAAACAGCATTTGAACACATGAGATTCTAAGTGATAAGATATCCGTGAAGAAGTTGTCCAGATCTGAAGTTCGCTCTGATCTGGCAGGGTCGCTTTCATGTTGCTGATGCCCCTCGACTGACTCTTGTGTATTGACCATTATCATAAGATTATCGCTACTCTGCATACCATGAGAAATGCTTGAACCCTTACAGTTTTTGTTGCATATTATGTTACATTTGATTGTTTACATAACAAAATTCTAATAACTGTCTGGCATTGATGGGCTTTATTCTGATAACTTTCACATTTCAGGCCATTAAGTGCTAGTTAAGCTTGTTGATGCCTTCTGGTGCGGGCTGTGATTTTAACTCCAGTCCTCCTCCAGCTGAGGGGGTTTAGGTTACAGCAGCATAGTGAGTCTTTGTATCACTGGGTAAAATGATCCTCGACAGCCTTTTCATTTAAATCTCAGTACTTTCTCACTGTTTGCTCAGCAAATGGATTATAAAAGGGGACCTACGTAGACAAAAACAAAGTATTTTCTCACTTTCTCCAGAAGTGCATGCTTTTTTTCAGTGTGTGAGGAGGTTATCAGGCTTGGGTTGAGCTGCCACCCCCCACTATGCACAACCAGAGCATGTCAGAACGACCATCCATTACGTAAATTCCTACATATCCCTGTTCCTGGCACCACCAGAGAAGGGAGTGAGGGTTTGGAGAGGTTTCATGTTTGAGGAGAATTTTGAGGGCTTAATTTCTTAACGTCATGTTTACTTAAATATTTAAAACATGCAAAGTGAAAATGATGAAATGTATAAATTAGGCATAGACTTTTGACTAATGCAAACTCGTTTAAAGGTATGTTCAGGATCACTGTGTAAAAAACAAATCTGTGATATTTATTGAAGAATATTGTGGAAAAGTTTAGACTTTAATCTACAGTGTGACGAGACATGACATTTTTATATTAGTTTTCGGATTCCTCAATGAGGAAGTCTTTTATTCAACTGAAAAAAAAAAACACAAAATGCAAAAGTATTTAGGTGCTTTTTTAAATCAACTTGTAATGAAAGTTATTTTACTTCTATTTTAATGAATTATATGCTGTAAATTCTATTTTAACGACATGCAAACACTGCTAAATATTTAGCTATAAACTCTACTGGCTAGACAAACTCAGAGCTACTGGATGCAAATATGGACTGATAGGAGAGAGTTGTTTTAATGGAATTTTATGCCACATACCGTATACTTTTCTTTTTCTCCAAATTTTTTTTGGATGGCATAAATGATGACAATGATGACTGGTGTGTGTGAGCGCACCTTGAGGTGGTGTGTGTCTGTGGTGCTTTACTGACTCGGTTGGTGCAGAGAATAGTTCAAATTTAATCCTGTCTCCAATCTTCAATGCCAAATTCACGCTCACACTCCATCTAAATATCCCAACTTGGTCTCAGGATATATATATATATATATATATATATATATATATATATATATATATATATATATATATATATATATATATATTTACAGTTTTTAATTTTTTAAACCTGTCACTTTCAGCTGTATGTTGAAAAATATGTAGTCAAATATTATTTACTGTCATCATGGCAGAGATAAAATAAATCAGTTATTAGAAATGAGTTATTAAAACTAATATGTTAGGAAATGTGTTGAAAACATCTTCTCTCCGTTAAACAGAAATTGGGGAAAAAATAAACGGGGGCTAATAATCCAGGGGGTTTAATAATTCTGACTTCAACTGTGTGTGTGTGTGTGTATATGTATATATATATATATATATATATATATATATATATATATATATATATATATATATATATATATATATATATTTGTAAACACACCGTAAATCTGTGTATATTTCAATTTATAACAAAATGACAACCACATCATTGAAAGCCTTAGTAGTACAACAAAAATAAACAAAACATTTCATAATGAATCAAAATTTATGAAAAATAATGTACCTTTTCTGCAAGCTGATGTAAACACTGAAATAAATAAGGTGAATTTAACAATGTCTTGCATTTTAACAATTTAACAAAATTTTACAATCTGATGTAAAATCCTAATTTAAATAACCAATAATAATAATTAAAAAAACGGTTATATTTTTGATTAAAGCAGCAACTGTGGGCTGTCTCACAGAAAAAGAGCAATGTAATATAGGTAATGTAGTATATTTCAAAAGTTGTTTTCTGTTACTGTAGCATGTTTTACATCCTTTTACCTTTAAAAAAATTATTTTTTACATTATAGGTATCGACAGTGTATTTGCATGAATTTAATTATCATCTTCTGTAAAAACAAAAGCTATGGTTCAAATATGTAACAGTTTCCCTCATATAGTCCTTCACATTAAGTAGATTTCAATAATTTTATGTCTATAAACTATGCCTAAAAATGCTACAAATGCTGTGGGAGTGAATGTTTTGGTGTGCTACCTCATTCACATGTTTGATTGCTCTGTTTTTGTCTCTTCTCCAGTTCCAAGCTCAGATCCTGTTACGGTGACGACAAGCAAAGCAAAAATGGATGTGCATGAAAACACAAGTAAGTTCATCATCTGCACTGTTTTTACAGGCTTTCAGACCATATTGATTTGACTTTGATTTATCTGTTTTCTGCAAAAGATGCTGTCCTGTCGTGTGAGTTCAGGACAGAAAAAGAAACAAACCCACGTGTTGAATGGAAGAAGAGAGGCAAAGATGTTTCATATGTTTATTTTGAAGGGGATTTTACAGGTGGGTTGTTATAACACTCTTCTCTCCATATGCACCAGGCACATTACTTAAACCCCATCTTATTAGGACTTAATATGAAAGACGCTGTTTTTTTCTGAATGTACCACAAATATTTCTTTCTCAATATTAAAATACCTCTTTTGCACAATATCTCGCACAATATTGTTCTGTTTTATGTAAAAGTACTTGTCTTAGGTTAGTTAAAGTCAAAATTATTAGCCCTCCTGTATTTTTATTTTTATTTTTCAAATATTTCACAAATCATGTCTAACAGCATGGAAGTTTTTACAATATTTCCTTTTTTATTCTGAAGAAAGTCTTATTTGTATTATTTTGGCTAGAATAAAAGTAGTTTTACATTTTTTAAAAAACATTATAAGGTCAATATTATTATTGACCCTCTTAAAAAGTATACAAGGGGCTAATAATTCAGGAGATCTAATAATACTGACCTAATATATACTTAATAATACTGTAGTTAAGTATTTATAGTATATACATAGTTACAGTTATATTATATTATATTATATTATATTATATATATATAGTTATATAAACACTAGTATGTCATTTATGTATAGGTTTAAAATAGCTCTTACATCCAGTGTTGTGTTCATATTTATGATTGATTATTTACGCCAGGGGTGCCCAAACTTTTTCTTATGAAGGGCCAAAAATCAAACTTGATTGCGGCTAGATGGCTAAACGTAAATATGCAATGGGTAATTTCCTAATTTATTTAATAATAATTAAAATTGCTTTATATCAACTAATACATCGTACATTCTATTTTATTATGAACTTATTACAGTTAAAACAAAAGCAATCTCATTTATGACAAACTTACACTAGTGTTTGCCATGATTTGCTCACCGATGTCTTCTGCATTTATCCATCGAGTGAAATTATTTACTGTACATTTTTATAAATATGATCCATTTACAACATCTAAATCAAACATTTAATTCCTGTTTTCTTTTTTTGTAGCTCAGCAATAAAACAAACAAACAAAAAAACAATCTCTGTGGCATTCGCCCCATTCCCCTGCATCATTCCCACTCTCTTCTCAGATGGGATGTGGGCCAAATCAAAGGTTACAATGGGTCAACTTTGGCCTATGGGCCCTACTTTGGACATCTTTGATTTCTGCGAACTTGATTTCAGCAAATAGGACATGTTCCAGGATTACATCTATGTTGATCCTGGAACAACATTCTAATTATTAAGGGATGTGTTTACCGTTTATGTTAAGGTTAGGCTTACGGTCAGGTTTATGCACTTATTGTTCCCCTCTGATGTTGGGAATAATGTACTGTTATGGTTGGGTTTAGGGGTAAGGAATGGGTATGGATTACATTCTCAAACAAAAATAGATATTAATCCAGGATCGCATCGGTAAAAAATTATTCAATTCAGTTCATCTTTATTCATACAGAGCTTTTGCAATGTAGATTGTGACAGCAGCTTCAACATAGAAGATTATAGTTGATTGAAACAGTCAGTGTCCATCCAGTTTTCAGAGTTTAAGTTCAGTTCAGTTTAGTTCAGTGTGTTTCATTTACTCTGCTGAAAGTACAAACACTAAGGAGCAAACCCATCAATGCACAGCTCCACAAGTCCCGATGCAGCCATGGTCCTGCGAGACATGAAATTTCTTTCCACTATGTCCACAAATGCAGCGGAAAGCTTTAGATATTTTTCAAAATAATTTGGACAAGACGTGTGTCATTTGCACCACTTGGGGTACTTAATTACATTCTATTTTGGTGCTTCACTTTATAAAAATGACATCAGAAGTGGGTGCTGTAGGCCATGCTTAAATCTGGTGTTCGAATATTTAGATCCCGATTTACATCTGTATCACGTTCAGTTCAATTCAATTCATTTTTATTCATATTTATTTTACAATGTAGATTGTGTCAATGCAGCTTAACATAAAATGAGTACTAATAAATTGAACTTGCTTCTGTCCAGTTCTCAAAGTTGAAGTTCAGTTCAGTGTACACTGAAAAAATTAACCCAGTATAACAACAGCAAAAAAATCCTTATTTCCCTACCCTTTTCCTTGTTCACTCAACTTTTGAAAACATCAGCTGCACTGACCTAAAATTTGTAATGATTCACAGGAAAAAGAAGGCTCAGCAAAGAGTCTGTGTGAATGAAGTGTCTTTATAGTCCTAGGAATCAGTCCATCATAAGCTTCCAGCTGTGTTAAAGAAAACTGGTTCCAGAAACTGGTTCCTCCATTTGAACTGTTGTTTAAGCATTTGATTTGTCATTTAATTATTACAGGATTTTACTGAGTTCTTCATGAAAATTAAATTAAAAACAAATTTGATTGCTTATTTGAAAATGGATTTTAATTTATGAGCTTTTTGATCGTTTGAGCATTTGATTAAACAAATTAACCGTCCACATGTGCTAAGCATTTCTTTTTGTAGAGCGAACTAGGTAAAAAGGACTGTGCTCCCACCCTTAAATTACATTAGCATTATTGCAGTATTTTGTTGTTGTTGTTGTTGTTGTTAATATTAATGTCATTAATGTTATTATTGTTGTTACTATTATTTTTGTCATTGTTGTTAGAGTTAGATATACTGCAACCTTTCTGTAAACTTAAAGTAACAATTTGGCAGAAGCTATTTTGGGTGAACTTGCAAAGTTTTGCTCACAAAACTAATCTTTTAACTTACTGAAGAAAATTTAGATTTAGTTTAATTAAACATGTTAAATGTTAATGTAATTTCAACTTTTTTCAAGTTGGATTTTAACAGTGTAATGCAAATATCAGTGCTGAAAGGAACAAACTTCTCCAATTGAAGTTTTGAGAATTTAAGAAACATATCTGTTGTTTATATCTGTTGATAACAGCCAGTGAGAATCTACACATTATCCCTCAAAACATTGAAAACGTAAAAGCTGTGATTAATAAATGATGTAACCAAAATAAATAGTTAATTTGGTTCACTGAAGTATGAACATCTATTACTACTGAAAAAAAGCTGACCCCCCTGAAAATCAATGTATAATTTGTACAATGTTTACTCTGACCATTACCAGGTTCATATAAAGGCCGTGCGTCCATCGACGGGGCGACTCTGACCCTCCGTGGTGTCACACAGAAAGACTCGGGAGTGTATCATTGTGAAGTCACAGCCCGTCAGGACAAAATCAAGCTTGGGGAGGTCTCTGTCACCCTCAGTGTGCTTGGTGGGAATGCAAATCTTTTTAATTATTCAATTATTCAATAGCTTACACATGTGCGGTTGCACCACTGATATTCATAACCTTTCTCTGAATGAGCAGTATGATCATGTGACTGTAACTGTGTTTCACATTGACAGTGCCACCCCATGCGCCAACCTGTGAGGTCCCGGAAGCGGTCATGAGAGGATTTTCTGCTGAACTGCACTGTAAAGATAAACTGAGTGTTCCTGCTGCCACCTACAGCTGGTACAAAGACAACAAACCACTCAACACTGCCAATCCCCATGATGTCCACTACACCCTGGACACAAAAACTGGGAGTCTGGTTGGTGCATTGCTTTAACCTCTTTCAAATCACTTGAACATCACATTTACAGTGCTCCGCATAAAAGAGTACACCCCTCACAGATTTCTCTGTTAAATAGATATTTGCCATAGGATTTACTTTACAAATATACTTTAGATTAGCCAGTGCTAAACCAAAACTGGAACTTAAACTAACCAAAAAAAACCACAGCCTTAAAACCCAAATTAATATGTGGGGAAAAAGCATTAAATAAAATGTTAATAAACAGGACAAATCAAGAGAAACTTTAAATGCATTATTTTCCTTTTCCTAGAGATGTTAGGTGACCAAACTCTTATTTTAATGGATATAACTTTAATAAAATTGTTCTGTTTAAATGCACCAAAATATACTGGCTATATTCACTGAGAAATGGATACAAATATTCATTTTTAAAAGAGGGTGTAGTCATTAACCCTCTTATATTATGTATATTAGATATTATAACATCTCTAATATTTTGCTGACACCAGTGTCTTTTTTCCACACACTTTGTTGATTGTGTTGCATCAGAACAATCTAACTTTTTTAGATGCATTTTTATAACATGAAGATTGAATTATATATACTGATTCTTTTTTTTTTTTTTTTTTTTTGCTTTTGAGCAGAAATTTAAGTCAGTGTCTAAATCTGATGAGGGTCAGTATAGATGTGAGGCCTCCAATGGTGTGGGAGCACCCAAAAGCTGTGCAGGCCATCATATGAAGATAACTGAATGTAAGTATGGCAAATTGGTCATTTCAAATGGATCTACATATTTTGAAATGAGTATGAAACATTTGGGCATTCACTTAAAAATGTTGACTATAGCAAGAAAACTCTTAATTTATTTTATTGAATTTGACTATTACTATTATAAAAACATGAACAGCCATTTTTTAATATCCAATCATTAACTTCTTTTTTACTTTCATTTTTTTTTCTATTTAATTTTAAACCAAGTTAAACCCTAAATTGGGTCTCAAAGGGCAGCGACTCTGCAGTTTTGCTCCAACCCTAATCAAACCCAGCTGATCCAGCTAATCAAGGTGTTTAAGACTACTAGAGACAATTAGGCAGGTGTGAGTTGGATGTGGTGGGAGATAAAGTATGCAGAGCTTTGGCCCTCCAGAAATTGAGTTTGAGATCATTGCCCTAAATTCTCATCTGCTTTGCTACATATTTGACTTTAATGTTCTTTGAAGTTTGACGTTTATCTACAATATATTACCCTTTAAAAGTGTGTGATTTTAGGAGGGATTTTTTTCAGTTAGAAATTGATGAGCAATGCCAGCAAGCAAAGACATTTAAAATGTTTCAGAGTTACTTTTATACTGTACTATTTACACTATTCAAATAAATTTAGATTTTTTTAGACATTTAATAAATCAAAAAATACTTAAAAACTGTCCTGGATTTCATAAAAATATTAAGCAGCAGAGTGTTTTACTGTAGAACCCAACAGTCAACTTTATTAAATGAAATGAGTGTAGTTTACTCAAAATTGACGGAAAGTTAACTCTACTCATTTGAAAAAAGTTCTTAATTCAGTGTTGAGTTAAATACTTCATTACTTCAACTTAAATGGAGTAAGTTCACAGCTTTGCGATTAGTTAAATGGTTTGTTGCAATTGGTTTCCTCAAAGGGTTTGTGTTACCTTAACTATTTGGGTTTTACAGTGTCGTAACAAAAAAAATATTTGTTGAGCACAAAAATTGGCAATAAAGAAATAAATAAAGACCAGATTAACAGCTACTAGAAATGTAGCTGTGTCGTCATAGGAAAAGATTTCATGTTAATATATTATTTATTATATATATAAAACAAATAAGAATTTGTTATTTTATTTAATAATACTACTGTTTTATTTTTTATTGCTGCAAAAAAGCTCTATATTCTTTATATTCTTAAGTCTTATAGGTATACATATTTTTGTCTTGTTTCTATTCCAAATATCGAAAAATTCTTGATTTAAGAAGTATTTTTTTAGACTAAGAAAATTATAATGCCAAAAATATCTTAAATAATATTCTAAAATTAAGTCTTTCCTTAAAACAAGCTAAATAATCTTATTTATGCTTTGACATAAGATCAATTTGCTTGTTTTTAGGAAATTCTAAATAAGAAATTTTTATTTTTTTTTCCCAGTTTAATCCAGCTTGTACAAGTGACTTATTACAAGACATTTAGAAAACATACTGACAGCAACTATTTGTATGGCGGTGCATATTATGTTTGCATTTAAGGATATTTTTGATCTCAGCAAAAACACATTGTAGTGTCACAATTTGTTAAACTCCAAGATACTGGCGTTAGTAAATGCATACAGCACATTTGAATAACTGTCTGACCCCGCTCTGTTGCAGTTGAGCTGAACATGACAATGATTATTGCAATAGAAGTGGGAGCGTTCCTGCTGCTGGTGTCCTGCTGTGTGTCCATCTGTCTGTGCTGCAGACGAGGCTGCTGTCACTGCTGCCGCCGCCGTGAGTACAGCTTACTTCAATACTAACTATACCTGTTTACCAATGTCTACATCTTCTGACACAACTCCTGCATTTACCAACAGAGAGTAAAGAAGAAATAAAACAGAGGTATGTCACTTTAATATACTTCAGCCTATATTAATACATAATAACAGACTATTAAACAAAGTGGTTATTTTTTTTCTTTGCAGCAAAACAAAGACCAGCTATAACCAGCCAACAGATGTAAGTCTTAAGTTTTTTTATCATGAAAGTAGTTTTAACATTTAAGCCCTTAAAGTCTGTGTGAAATCTAAATTTACTGTATTTATTTTGCTATAGACCATTTTGGCAGATGTAAACAATAACAGTGGTTCTAACGTTTTTCCTATTTTATATTTCATTTTCATAGCTTCCAAGACTCCTGAAAGGTCCACATATTAATATATAATGTTATGACAGCTGTTTTAACGTCAAGAGATGATTGAATTGCCTCTTGTTACAGTTAAAAAAATAGTTTGACAACAAGCAGGAAATATTCATGGGCCAATGGCATCACCATATTGAAATTGTCTATAGCACACATTGTTATTCTTTAGGTCAGGGGTGTCAAACTCAATTCCTGGAGGGTTGAAGCCCTGCACAGTTTAGTTCCAACCCTGCTCCAACACACTTACCTGTAGGTTTCAAACAAGCCTGAAGGACTCAATTAGTTTGATCAGGTGTGTTTAATTAGGGTTGGAACTAAACTGTGCAGAGCTGCGGCCCTTTTGGAACTGAGTTTGACACCTGTGCTTTAGGTGAACAAATAATTTAAGTTAATCCACTGATTAAAAAAAACAGTTTTGGTCATCTTCAGTCAAAGTCTGATCATTTATAGTGGTCCTTCTTTGATGATGTCAGTTTCACAGCATAAGCTGTAATATTCTTAACCACGCCCCTTTATTCTTTAGTTTGCTATGAGGGAGTGATGTGCAAAAAGAAAGCCCCGCCCCCTATTCAGTATCAACATATTTATTATAAAAGCCTTAGCAACTTCCGGTTCGCACAGACTTTAACAGTTACAGTCCCACATGTTTTTCCGAAAGTTTTCAGTCGTTTTTATATTATCTTGACAAACGTAAAATATGCATGTATCATTTTCAAATGTGAAATTGGGGTTACAGTTAAGTGGGTAATGTATTAATATCTTTTCTAAACTAGAATTAAAAAGTAGCAATTTTATCTATGAAGTGCTTATTGATTGGCTTATTCTTTTAGCTTTCAGTAGACACATAAGCACCCATTTATTTATCTGATATATGTTACAAGCAAGATTATTTATTTCACTAGTAAGATTTTTAATTAAAGCACACAGTGACCATTCTAGTCTAACTTATAATGGCTAGTTGTTACTTAAGAGTTTTTTTTCTTCTTTCTACTTTTATCTGAAACTTAAATCAAGAAGCATTTTCTAGACCAGAGTTGGCCCATTGTAACTTTTGATTTATCTCGCCATCCCATCTGAGAAAGGAGTGAGAAAAATGGAGTGGGTTGAGGAGAATGCCTTTCGTCATGTTTAATTTGACAAAACATTTTGTTTGTTTTGATTGCTGAGATACAAAAAAAGCTAAATGTTTCAGTTAAATGTTGTAAATTAATCTTTTTAAAAAAATCTAAATAATGTCAATCGACGGACAGCAGACGATGAAGAAGACATCGGCGAGCAAATCACAGCAAAAATTAGTGCATCTCCATTCTGTTATAAATGTTTTTGTTTTTACTTTAATAAGTTCATTACAAAATATAAAAAAGCTATATTAGAATTATTATATATATATATATATATATATATATATATATATATATATATATATATATATATATATATATATATATATATATATATATATATATATAATTATTAATATCAAAATGTAAATATTATCAAAATGTAAATAAATATATTGCTATATAAAGCAATGTTTTCTATTTTAAATATTATCAAATAAATTAGGAAATTACCCATGACAACTATATTTACCTTCGGTCCACTAGCCTCAATCAAGTTTGGTTTTTGACCAATTTATATGAAAAAGTTTGGGCACCCCTGATCTAGTCTTGTTTTCAGAAATAATATACCAAAATTAACTGAGTTTTTCTCTTGAAATAAATCTAAGCAACTTCTGATTCACACAGACTTGAACTATCACAGTCTCACATGTTTTTCAGAACATTTTCATCTTATCTTTATCATTTCTATCTTATTATGTTTTTCTTTTCTTTTTCATTCCTTTAAACCTGTTTTAACACATTTTATTCTGTTTTTAACTACTTTTAATCATTTTAATTTTCTTGTTTCTTTAATTCTTGTTTATGTAAAGCACTTTTGAGTTACCAGTGTGTATGAAATGTGCTATATAAATAAACTTGTAAGCTATGTAAAATATGCAAAAAATTTAAACATGTTTAAAAAAAAGGCTAGCTGTGACTGATAAGATAAGAGTTTTGTACTAGCACTAATAACAAATTATGGTAACATTTTACAATAAGGTTTTATTGATTAATGTTACTGAAAGTATTTACTGACAAAAACAAACAATGAACAATACATTTACTACAGTATTTATTAATCTTTGCCAACTTTAGTAATATGAAAATAAGGTTAAGAGTTAGCTAATGTTAACAAGCACAACTTTGCATTTTGATAATGCATTAGTAAAAATGAACTGATTCATAAATGCTGTTTATTTTGGTTCATGTTAAAATCATTACCAAAAAATTAATTCATTTTAAAGTGTGACCCAAAATACTAAAAATATTACTAAACATATAATAAAACTAAATACTAAAAATACTTGATACAAAAATGTAAAAAAGCAAGTACATTCTAGTGATGAAAAGGCAAGTAAACTTATATAATAAATAAAAACTATTATCTATTGAATACTAAATAGTAACTAACGAATAAATACTATTATCTTTTAAAGAACAACCACTAGTACAGGGTCTCTGCGGGGTCTTAAAAAGTATTTAAAGTTGATAAATCAACGTAGAGAAATTTAAGGCCCTTAAAAAGTCTTAAATGCTATTTCGCAAGGTATTAAACATTCTATAATTTTGATTATGTAGTGTATGGTTGTATGCTAAAGTTTGCCTGAATTAAATTGCAAATATCAGGATGTGTAGTTTATGAAATCTTGCTAGATTTAACTAAGATAACCAAGGCAACACCATTATTTCTGCAGTTCCATATGCGCCAACATGCTGAATTAGCTAGATTTAATTGATTTTTATTCAGTACATGAATAATGTTCTTGTTTTAAACTTTTTGCATTAATATTTAGTAAATATACTGTACGTTAAAATCTCGCCAGTGTTTCTGGTTGAAACCTGAAGTGGTTATAAGGTCTTAAAATGTGTTGAATTTCACTCTCTGATTGCTGAATATACTGTAGTATGTAATGGAAAATATACTAGTAGCTAAAAATGTACTAGTAGCATGAAAAAAGGCAGAAGTACGTTTTACAGATTAAGTTTAACGCCTTCCCATACCTATTGTTAACTCACTATTAAAATATTATAGTAAAGAAACTTCAATGAATTGTTCCTCTCTTTCCATAGCCGAGACGATACAAGCATACACAATCCTTTGTGCTGTGAAGAATGGACTCTTGTTGGCCAGTACCGTGCTAAGAGAAGTGAATTAAAGTGACCACAAACGCCAGAGAAATAATGTATTTTTTCAAGTGCACTTGTACATTTCTACGCTTTAGGAGCAAAACCACGCCCCCTGGTGGCCAGATCTGAATACAGCTAAACAATCCACATCAGGCCTACTGCATCTACTGTTTCTTTTGTACTACTGTATTGTTTTGTTTTTTATTTAGAAGTATTCAGTTGTTTTATTTACCAAGTAGTATTGTCTCATATCAATGATAGGTGATGCAACCTACAGTTTAAATGTAATATTGCACTATTTTATAGATTTGCCTACAGACATATCAAGTTGCTTAGCATCATGTTGCTAAGGAGGCCCAGCTACAGATGTGATGGTCTGTTTGGTTTGAGCAGAAACAGACTTGGTTCATCTCAGGATGTTGCTAAAGTCTGTAGTCATCATATAATCAATCTTCTGTAGATTTTAATCACAGGCACCTTGACTTGTTTCTACATCTTTTAAGCGTATGTATGTATTTTTCTAATTGAAGAAACAGTCACACAGGTTTGGAATGGTTAGTTAATGATGGCAGTTTTCTTTTTTGTGTGTGAAATATGCCTTTTTAAATATTTTTACTTTTTGTTTTTCCTTATATGTGATTCAGACAAGCAAAGAGTTGTTTTTCTTCCAAAACTATGTATTTTAGTCTTTTGTTACAGTATTTTATATGTAAACTCAAACATCAGCCTTCACTGCAATATTCCTCTTTGACATTGATGATCTCAATGACTTTTAACAACACTTTAAAATAAAGAACATCACAAAACCTTTTTATTTTCTACAATATTTATTTGATCAATGGCTTCAGGACATTACAAATCACACCAAAAGACAATTCATTTGAATTTCCTTCAGGTTTTATGAAGTTAAAGAAAGTATTTTGAGTAATTCTAAGATAGAGCAAGTAATCAATATATTCTCTAAATTTACATTTATAGAGAATGAGGAAGATTTATGGTTCTTGCAATGTTCAATGACAACCTTACTATATTAGGCCTGTGAAAACACCAAAGAAATGTGTTGTTTATGGATTAAGGACTAAGAATAAAAGGATAAAGTAATATAGATGGTGTGAGCAGAATACCCATGTACAGATTAACACAATGTATTTACAACTGCATGAAATGTATTTATTACATTGTATGCATGATACACTCAATCAAATCATCTCAATCAATCAAAAATAATACATATTTTAGGAACCAATTTTCACTATTAACTAGAAGCTTATTAGCAGGTATGTTATTGAGAATTGGCTGCTTATTAGTAATTATTATTCTCATGTTCTGTATGATCTTATTCTACATCTCTAATATCTAAACAACTTTAATAATGGGCAAATTGGGAGTTTATTGAAGTCAAAAATCAAAGTTAATGGTTTGCGAATAGCAAAAACATAACCTTAAAATTAAGTTTGACCATAAATGATTTCCAAATAGTGCATCATAACATATCACATTGTCAGATTTTTACAATATCAAACAGCCCTAATCTGTGTCCATTTTCACACCTAAGGTGAAACACTGCAGGGACTAATTTAGAAATTCTAGCTTTTCAGTCTAGTGGAACTAAATCTTCACAAACATAGTATTTTTGATCACTCTTTATCTATTTGTGTCTGTGGATTTTGATTACAATAAATATTTCCAAAGCCTGTTTTCCCCTCTTATACCGAGGCATACATTTCCACTTCCATCATACCTAAAAAAAAAAAAAAAATATCATCATACCTGAGAAAAAAAGTCTTGTCGTCGATCCCAATTGTAAGAGCAATAAATAATAACTTGACTTCTAGTAGATAATTTGGAAAAGTGACATTAGGTAGATTTTTCTGATAATTCATATGTTGAACTGCATCCCAATCATTAGAAATAAGGCAGAAGAAATATTGGACCCAACATGGACCCAAGATTCTCACAGAAATCTGTCAAGTTTGGTGAAGGAAAAATAATGGTTTGGAGTAACATTCAGTATGGGGGTGTGCAAGAGATCTGGAGAGTGGATGGCAACATCAACAGCCTGAGGTATTACGACATTTGTGCTGCCCATTACATTACAAACCACAGGAGAGGGCAAATTCTTCAGCAGGATAGCGCTCCTTCTCATACATCAGCCTTTACATCAAAGTTCCTGAAAACAAAAAAGGGCAAAGTGCTCCAGGATTGGCTAGCCCAGTCACCAGTTGTAAATATTATTGAGCATGTCTAGGATGAAGAAGGCATTGAAGATGAATCCAAAGAATTTTTATGAACTCTAGGAGTCCTGCAGGAACGCTTTCTTTGCCATTACAGATGACTTTATTAATAAGTTATTTGAGACATTGCAGAGATGTATGGATGCAGTCATCCAAGCTCTTACACAATATTAATTCATTTTCTACTGCACCATGACTTTATATTCTATACTGTACATTATCTCTGTTAAGTGACAAGACTTTTGTCTAAGCCAGGGGTCACCAATCTCGGTCCTGGAGGGCTGGTGTCCCTGCAGAGTTTAGCTCCAACTTGCCTCAACACACCTGCCTGGATGATTCAAGTATACCTAGTAAGAACTTGATTAGCTTGTTCAGGTGTGTTTGATTAGGGTTGGAGCTAAAATCTGCAGGACACCGGCCCTCCAGGAACAAGTTTGGTGACCCCTGGTCTAAGCAATGTCAGATCTTACTGTCCTAATTAAATACTTAAAAATCAGTAAAACAAGTGTAATCTAGAGGCCTTTGCCTTTCATATAAACCCTTCTAATCCCAAATGATCAACTAGAAGTCAAGGTATCGTTTGTTGTTCCTAAAGCTAGGATTGGCAACAAGACATATCCAAAAATTCCCTCTGTAATCTTTGAGACAAAATCAAATCCCTTTGTCGCATCATCAGCAGCATGTGTCTGAAAAGCTTAGGTGCTGCCTCCAGACAGTGCAGAATACAAACAAAACAATACACTATTAACTCTTCAACTGCCCCACCAATTAAAGATAAATGTTTGAATTGCATTTCTGAACTCATAATGTCTCTAGTTAACACACTCAATACATTTTTTTCAACACATCTTAAAGTAAAAAATATCAACCTCTACCTAATGGTTGATACTGTATATCAGTTTATGGTAAAAGTACCGGACTTAATACACATGTAAAATATGTGAAAAATATGTCTGAGAGCAATTTATTTAAAAATAAAACATTTTTGAATACTAAATCATATTTGTTTTTTGAAGCCATAAAATATATCAGATTCTCATTTACACTTTTTTTTTTATTTTTGCAACAGGATTATGTTTGTTTGATTTTCTTGTAAACCAGCATTTTGTGTGTAAAACCATTATTTTAAAACAGTCATTTTTAAATGACTTTAACAGTCATTATTTAAAAAAAAAGTCAAAATATGGTCAACCATTTGGTAGAGCAGGCAGTTAAAGGGTAAACAACGCTGACAATAAATACGTAAAAGACAATTAATACCTGGAAGACAATAAAGAAGTTAAAAAGACATGTGTTACACATTTAATGTGGACAAAAACAAACAAGTACACAGTCAAAGGGTTGAGCACATTTGACTGTCGGTGGGTAATTGTTGTAATCAGTATTGTTTTTAGTGTACCTGCACTCTCAGAAATAAAGTATGCGAGCTGTCACTAGGGTGGGTACCTTTTGGAAAGGTACAAATCTGTACCTAAAAGGATCATATTAATACCTCAGTGTACATATTAGTACCTAAAAAGTACAAAAGGGTTCCTCTTGTTTTTAGGTACTTAGACGCAAACAAAATACAATTATTGCATAATTTAATAAACAATATTAATACTTTTTGTTAACTTCAAGAAAATCAGTAACTTGGAGAGATCCAAACGGCTGGATTTACGGCATGTTTATTCAAAATTTTCTGCTGAAATGCATGAAGGTAATCAACTGTTTATATGGGAGAGTAGAAAATCTACCAAAGAAACGGGAGTCCACCGTCAGATTTGAGTTTTAGCAGTTGATGATGTGCGCTCTGAACATTTTAATCACACCGGTGTGAACGTACGCTTCAGGAATCAGCCAAGGCTAATCACATCGGTGTGATCGTACGAGTGAAACAGTTAAATGACCTCATGGATAAGTGTGTTGCAAAACTTGTGCAAATATATCCATATCACTACTGTCAGATGCTTTCTGAACTGCAGTTTTCTCACTGCTGTCATTTTTTAATTAGGATATCACATTAAATAACATATTTACAATAGTTTTTTTTGCTTTTAATCAAAGAAAATACTCAGCCTTAAATATACTAAGGCATTCATTCACAGAATAAGCAGTGAGTTACTGGCTGCAGTATTATACTTTTGAGGTACCGATATGGACCCTTTAAGTACAAATGTTCACATACCTTTATTTCTGAGAGTGTGTAGGGTTTGTTAAAAAAAGATTAAAATAGAAGAATTTATAATCTGACTTCTTCCAATTGTGATAAAAATACAAGCAAATTAGCATAAAATAAAGCCCCAGTGACACATTTTCATTGTTTTAGAAAACAAATACAAAACAATTCTTGATAACGATAAGTTTTGTTCTATACGTTGAGAACTAAAACATTTACTCTATTCACTGACAGTGTCTCGCCTTAAAGAAAACGTAAAACCTGACACATTCTGTTGTCTTTTGTTGGCATTTTTGTGGCACAATTAACAAACATATACTCAGATACTGTTTAATCCCCGTGCATGAAGAGGATGAGGAGTCCCGAGTGGGGTGTTCGTGTTGCTGTCAGTGGGCAGCGAGGCCTCCAGCTCATCCCCGCCCCCAATGCAATGTTGACCAAAAACCAGCATGAACATTCAGTCAACTTATTAGCACACACACTAAACTAAAGCCCTGACATCCAGCTTTAGCCCGCTAAAACTCCAACACAGCACTTACTCGCCGGGATAAAGAGGTAAGTTTGGTAGAAAGGATAATATTGAGGAGATAAAGGCGAACAGAATGTGTGTTCAATGCGTGTGAGGTTATAAGCGTGTCAGTTTTCCCGCTTTCTGCGCGAGCTAGCTGTTAGCATCCTGAGGGGAAACAGAGCTAGCCGGAGTGCTAACAGAAGTGACAATAACCCAGCCCTCTCACGTCCGACGACCAGACGGTAAAGATACTTGCAGAGTTTATTGTGGATTGTTTATAACGCATCTATTTTATCGAGAGATGTGATTAACCTTTATAACTCGATCGCACGACTTTTCGTAAAAGTTAGCGCGAGCTGTTTGCTCGAGCAGATCTTCAGTTCAGCCAGGCGTGTCTCTCTCTGTCTTTCGTCAGCTTAAGCTAATCAGCTAACAAAGACGCCAGGAATACATATATACTTCATCCATAACTGTACCTTCCGTTGATAATACATCCCGCACGAATCGCATAATTAAACACCGTGATGTTTCCGTCCGTTTCTTCAGTCGCACGGCTGTTTTCGGAAGTCTGTCAGCCGCCGTGACTTCGGCCAGGATTTCCGGCTGCTTTTACATCTGCCCTTCTCTTGTTTTGTTTCCGTTTCTTCCATTTCCGTTTTAACTTTCCAGAATCAAAAGTCTTGATGTGTAGCTAGCCCTGAAAGTTTCAGAAGTTGTAAAAAGTCGTCTTTTACGCCCGGTTTTGCGGTTATATTACGAAACCCAAAAGCATTCCAACATGGCAACTGCGTTTGTATCGATTCGCGCGTCGTCTTCCCACCCAGTCGCTGGTGGAAATTACATTAGCGAAATATTACGTTTAAAGCTACACACCCAAATAATAAACGGGTTGACCGAATGGATAGCATATTTAATAAATATGTGCGTCCCTTGTGTTTAATAAAAGTGATAACGTGCGGTAAATCACAAATTGGGCCTGTGCTCAAGCAAAGCCTCGGTGTTGCCTGAGAGTTTTCAGGACTTCAGAGACAGCTTGAGTGCGTTAACTTCACTAATTACTGCACCTGGGACACACTTTGATGTTTTATATAAGTTTGTGTCTGTTAAAATGTTAGAAAATATGTAAATTTATGGTTTTATTTTTTTGAATATTCGTATAGTTCATATGGTAACACTTTACTGGATACTTTTGTTTAGTTTATTATTAGCGTAAAACTGTACTTCCAGCATCCGTTAATGTATAGTCATGTTCTGCATTTACTAATAGATTTAAATCAAATATGTTAAGATTAATGTACTGTGGAAAGTGTGAACAAGCACTAAACAATTTCATGTAAAAACTATATATTCATAAAAAAGAATAATTGATACAGTAAAATTCGGATGTCACAAATTCTCGCTTTTAGTATCTTAGTGTGAGTTTCTGTGGGTTTCAAAAAGTTTCCTTAAAGTGCTTAAAAAGACTTGGTTGGAGAAGAAGTTATAAAGTCATGAAAAAAAAACCAAACCTTAAACCTTAAAAGTAATGCAAAAAACAATTAAGTGCTTTCTCAGCACTTTTGTTTTCCTATACAAACAAGGTATAATTAATCAAAGAGGAAATGAGGTTTTTTTATTTGACATAAAAACTCCTATGGTTAAAAAAAACAATGGATTACTACTATATATGTCAATCACTTTTGAGTCTACTCGCAGAAATGTGTTCTTTTCTCAATTTTAGAGAAAACAACACCCGTAGCATTTCATTTTGTTCACAAATATGCATCTTGATTTACAATTCTTTGGACAATTCATCTTAATAAAGACAACAACACGAGTAAGGGCATGATACAGAATTACAGGAAGGTACGGCCAAAGTTATTTTATTATTCTAGTGTTTGGGAGATTTTTTAAAACTAATTTTAATTAAACAAAAACTTATAGGTTTTGTTTGCTTATTTTTTATTTAGATTTTATATAGTGTTTGTATTTTTGCATCTCAATTTTTTGACAATAGTTATAGATTCTGTTATGGCAATAAAAATAAACCACTACTATAAAATAGTTTGACAGTGGAGTTGTTCAAACTAAAGCTGTTATCAGTATAGTTTAATTCACAACCTAATCTCCTGTAATGCAATACCTGAAAAACGTTTTGTTGTCGATCCCAGATGAGCGACAAGTAATAACTTGACTTTTTCCTAGTTGATCATTTGGAAAAGTGGCAGAAGGTAGATTTTTCAGATAAATCATCTGTTGAACTGCATCCCAATCATTAGAAATAAGGCAGAAGACCTATTGGAACCCACATGGAGCCAAGGTTCTCACAGGAATCAGTCAAGTTTGGTGAAGGAAAAATGATAGTTTGGGGTTACATTCAGTATGTGGGCATGTGAGAGATCTGCAAAGTGGATGGCAACATCCGCAGCCCGAGGTATCAAGACGTTTGTGCTGCCCATTACATTACAAACCACTGGAGAGGGCAAATTCTTCAGCAGGATAGCGCTCCTTTTCATACTTCAGCCTCCACATCAAAGTTCCTTGAAAGCAAAGAAGGTCAATGTGCTCCAGGATTGGCCAGCACAGTCACCAGACATAATCATATTGAGCATGTCTGGAGTAGGGTGCTGGAGGAGGCATTAAAGATAAATCCAAAGAATCTTGATGAACTCTGGGAGCCCTGCAAGATCATTTTCTTTGCCATTCCAGATGACTTTATTAATAAGTTCTTTGAGTCATTGTAGAGATGTTTGGATGCAGTCTGCAAGCTAATGAGAGTCATGCACTTCATTCTTTTTCCACTGCACCATCCATGTTGCCTTTCAAATAAGCCACTTCTGATACCAAATGATCAACTAGAAGTCAAGGTATCATTTGTTGTTCCTTAAACTTTTGTCAGGTAGTGTACAACTCATTGTGTGAGTTTCAAATTTTTTTACAGTCTTTAAAAGTCTTAATTTTACCTTTGTCAAACCTGCAGACACCTAGATTAATTTGTTAACAAACTTTTTTGTTTGTAAATTGTTACCAGCCATTCTTGTACACTTGCTTGTTATTAATTCTATATTAAATTGTCTATATTATACATTTTAATCTGCATTTGCTTTATAGTTGGACAAGGAGTTGAAGGGATGTCGAAAAGTGAGACAGAGGAGATGATTGAAATTGAGATTGATGGACGGGAGAAACAGGAGTGTTTAGAGGAAGGGTAAGTGATTTCATTCCTCCTCCTCTTTTCCTCTCTATGGGATGAATCACTTCATTGACTAATGCGCATCTTGTGCCTGTGAAATGATGCTTTTCATTTGACCAAACGCCAGGATCGAGGAGCAAACCATCACAGCAGCTGAACTGATCACTCAGGACATTGACATCAATGAGCCGATCGGAAACCTGAAGAAGCTGCTGGAGCCTCGTCTTCAGATCCCGCTGGATGGATATGACATTTGTCTGCAGGACATCCAAGTATGTGTTTCTGTTTGAACAGACTCTTATTTGAGTGCACTCATTGTGTTGATGCTCATCTGTTTTGTTTTTTTCCCTCGTAGTTGCATCCTGATCACAGCTTGTTCGATCAAGGAGTGAAGACAGATGGCACAGTACAGCTCAGTGTGCAGATCGTCACGAAACCCGGTAACTGTTTACAGTGATCTCATGTTGCTGTTGGACAAATCTCAACTTGTCAACATGCCTTTCAGACAGAAATTCAAACATTTGGGTGGTTTTGCGTGTCCTGCGGTGGGGCATGCTGTTTTAAACAGCACTTTGCTAATTCTTTTGTAATTATGCATGCAGCTTTTATGAGCTCATGATAATTGAGAGATTAGAGGAATATTTGCATGTTTAAAAGCTGCCAGAGAGAGGACTTAAATTGACATTGTGAAAGCATAGAAGGTTAATGATGAACATCAAATGAATTCACAAGTGAATTTACTCAATTATAGTAGGGGAAATAAGTATTCAGCACGTCACCTTTTTTCTCAGAAAACATATTTTTAAAGGTGATGTTGACTATTTTCACCAGATGTTGATAACAACCAAAGTAATACAAACATGAAAATAAAACCAATGTTATTAGTTTACAAATGAAGTTATATGTAATGAAATGAAATGACACAGGAAAAAGATATTGAACACATGAAGAAAGGAAGCTGTAGAAAGTCATTTAAAGCCCACAAAGCAGCTGAATGTGGTTATTCTCAAAAGTTATTCAGCAATCCTCTGCTCTTTATCAGTGTAAATTAATATTCACTGCTTCAGTCTAACATCTACATTATCAGCATGATGAAGAGGAAACCAGGGTGGACATTTCAGCAAGACAATGATCCAAAACACAGCAATGGAAACTCTCAAATGGTTTCAGAAAAAGGAAATCAAGCTGTAGAATAACCCACCTAATCACCTGACTCAAATCCAATAGAAAATAAAAAATAAACATCACATTTGATAGACAAGACCCACAGAACCATCAAGATTTTTACACTCTGTTGAAGTCTCTAAAAAAAAAAAATCACTCGACATATCGTGCAATATTTGGAGATGACTTCAAGAATTTTTTTGTGTTGCAATATATATTTACAGATTCACAAATAACTTTAAAGCCATTTTACAATGACATTTGCATTCTACCTCACCGGTGTCAAAGTTGATGTTTGGATAATTGGACATTTACCTAACAGGACATTTAATAGGATATATAATAGGGCATTTACCTTTTTATCATCAAATTATAGAACCCACATAACCTTAAGGATGATAAGTATTTGAAAGTGTTTATGGCTATTTGCATTACTATGTTGTTATATAATCATTATATAGTCAGTAGCATAAAATGATCTCAAAATGACATTATTTTAGCTTATCAAAACAATTTTCTTGACAATGTATTGCACAACAAAAATTCCTTATTGTGACAGGTCTACTGTTATTTTGAACTTTGCACAATTCGATGCTGCAGGAAAAAGGTTTTCAACTTTGAAAATTGTAAAAATCACTTTTAATAGTTGAGCAGTAGCAATATTAATTGATTATAATAGAGCAGCAAATATATGGTGCATATTATCGGAAGGACCATGTGACACTAAACAATGGAGTATTGACTGCTGAAAGTTCAGTTAAATTAATAAAATATTAAACAGAACTCAAAAGGAAATTAATTTGAAGTGTAAAATTTTTACTGTGTTATTTTTGATCAAATAAAGAAAACATTAAAACATCTTACTAACTGAAATCTGCGCTCTGTTTTAGGTGAAGAGAAGCTGAATATTCTGGAGATTGTGAAGCCAGTGGAAACAGTGGAGGTGGTGATCGATCCAGATGCTGCTGCTGGCGAGGAAGCTCATCTGGTAGAGGATGGACAAGTGATCGCTGTGGAGCGAGCGGCCCTTCCTGATGAGACCTCAGAGCAGGTGACTCGCTGGGCGGCTGCACTAGAAGGCTACCGCAAGGAGCAGGTTCGACTGAACATTCCCTATGGTGAGTGCTTTGTCTGTGCTTGTGTGTTTGAGAGTTGAATGTAAATGCTGATTAGTGCTAAAAAATTTGGGTCAAAAGTTTTATTTTTAAAGCACATAATTTATGCCAGGGCTGCATTTTATTTGATTAAAAATGCAATAAATTAGAATGGTATTTCATTCTGTAATATTATTTCACAATATTACTTTTTAAATTTATTAGGGTTTCCGCGAGGTCTAAAAATGTCCTAAAATGTTTTAGATCTCAAAATCAAAATGTTAGGCCTTAAAAAGTCCTACATTTATCAAAATTTTGTGTTGTAGGTTTTTAAACAGGTCCTAATTTTCCTTTGCTCCATGTATTTCTACCCAATATGGCAAAAATTCATACAATTGCCAACAATCTATCTCAATAAATCTTAAAACCTTTTATTTAAAAGGTAATTTTTAACTCTATCGATCATAATGGATTTCTTATTGTCCTTACAATAACATTTGTTTTAAAGTGCTCCTTGTATTTACCATGTATTTATTTATCTTTTCTATATGGGTCATTTGAAAAATTCCTTCGCATTTAGCCTTTTATGAGTCAAAATTGTCATTCATAATGGTCTTAAAAATGTCTTTAAAAGTCTTAAATTTAACTTTGTGAAACCTGCAGAAATCCTGGTTTATTTTAAAATGTATTCTTGTCATGGCACGTCTGAGTTTTCAGCAGCCATTTGTTCAGCTTTCAGTGTCAAAAATTATTCTGCCAAAAATTATTCTTGGTTTCCGCTACATTCATTCTTCCATGGCGGGGCGCCACACCAAAATTCATCCCGCCACAGCTGCATTACAGCTCATTCAAAACATTTAGTCATTGTCGTTTTTTTAAAAGTGGGTTATAATCGCACCAAAACTAATTAAAAGGTAAGTGAATTATAACAGCAAGAACTTTTTTGTAACTGTAGTAGGGCTGTGCGTTATTTGTTTGACCCTTAAAGGTGACATGCTTACTGACTGACTGACTGACAGACAGATGTAAGATGCGTGAGGCAACACGATGTAGCTTTCAGTGAAGATAAACACAGTTTCCATAATTATATTTTGTATATTAAGTCCATAGCTCTTTACACAATGACTTTATCTTGCTGAAGTTCATGGCCGTTCTCTTTACTTAAGGACGCATTAATGCTGTTCTGTAGGTCTATTGGAGACCTAAATAAATATTCCTTGAAATAAATGTTGAAGACATACTTGTTGCATAAAGCACTAAATCGCACTTCAGCAGCATTTATTTGAGAGCGCACAAGAAAATCTGCAATTAAGCAGCGTATATTTGAGGGTGTACACGAAAAAAGTTTTGTGCATGAATAGAGGAAGAAGTTGCGCAAGCAAAGATTTGCATGCTCGTATTACATAAATGTGATCTCGACTTGTAATATTGCGCTCATGACATTTGTCATTGAAAGGATATTTAATGAAAGCGAAAGTTCAAAGAACAGCTTTTATTTGAAATATATGTTAAACAGTTATTATTATCTGTGATCACTTTAATTCTAAATAATAGTGTTAATTTCTTTCACATTCATTTTACTGATTACACATTTTGAACAATAGTGTATGCAATTCTGTTATACTCCTTTATTTTATTAAGTATTTTACTTAAATCAAATGAGAAATGAACATTAGCGCTATTACAGTAGATTTTATGTTAAAAACACAGTTTGCCCAGAATTTGACCAACCACTGAGTTTCTTTTTTCACAAAAATATAGTATAGTATGGAATAAAGGAGAGTCAGTAGCTATGTCAGCTGTTTGGTTGCCAGCAATATTCAAAACATCTTCTATTGTGTTCAACATCAGAAAAAAAAACTAAAATAAGGATGAGTAAATGATAACATTAATTATTTGTATTCCTTTAATACGGTAAATGTTTCTGTCTGTCAGACCCCGTGCAGTGGACAGCAGATCAGGTTATCCACTGGGCAGTTTGGGTGATGAAAGAGTTTGGCATTGATGAAATGGAGGTGGGTGGCATTCACATCCCGGGCCGGCAGCTCTGTGGCTTCAGCCAGGAGGAGTTCCTGCAGAGAGTGCCCAGCGGCGAGATCCTGTGGAGCCACCTGGAGCTTCTGCGCAAGTGTACGCTTCATAAACAAAAACACTCAGTTGTATGTATTGTGTGTATTTTATTTTCAGCCTGTTTTCAATCTTTCTAATGCTCTGTGCAGATGTACTTGCGAGTCAGGATCAAAGTCAGGAAGCTACAGTCACCATTGATCAACGTGAGTATCAGTAGATCCTGAAGCATCTGCTCGGTTTCCTCAACAAAAGCACTTTTTGTTGAAACTGCACATGACTGAAGCTTAAAGGCTAGTTTTGTGTCTCTAGGCTAGACTTCAGTTTTTTGATGAATAGAGCTTGTTGTTGTTGTTGTGGGTAACAGAGTTTGTTGATGTTCTCCAGCGGTGCAGATCATCCCTGCTCCTGTGCAGCAGGCCACACCTACAGCCATTAAAGTGATGAAGCACAACAAAACACCACGAGCCCCTCGCATCTCAGGAGAGGAGCGCAGTTCCCCAGGCAACCGCACAGGTACATGCAGACACTCAGACGACAACACAAATTCAGCTCAGCTTGTTTAAGTAACATGTCATTTTATTATTACAATAAAAATAGTAAAGAAATATTTTGTTAGCAAATATGGAAAAACAATGAATGCACAGTGTTTACATGCACAGTGTTTACTTGGTATGTTTTTATGAAATTGTTAGTATTTGTTCTATTTTATAAAGGTCTGATAACATTTCTTCCAAATGATTACAAATGAAAATACTGTTATTTAGAGCAGTGGTTTACAACCACGTTCCTGGAGGACCACCAACACTGCATGTTTTGGTTATAGATGCAGTGCTCAGCATATATAAGTCCCCCCTCACAAATCTTTTTTTAAATTAATATTTTTAATAGGAAGCTATGCAATATTAAATTTGGGCATATACATTAGAATAATCAGTACTGAAGCCAAATCTGGAGCTTATGTAACATAATAACTAACGATAACGGTACAAAAAGTAGTACAGCCAAAATTGTGCTATAGAAAAATATTAAATACAAATAAATAAAAAAAAGAAAAATCAGGAGAAGCAAAAAAAATTGAAACATTTTGTAGGTTGTACTTTTTTTTTTGCAATATTTTGCTTGAATTTAATTGTATTATCTTTCAATTTTTAAATATGTTTGGTGAATAAAATATTATTGTAATAAATATTTCTGTTTAATAAAACTGTTTTGTTCAAATACACCAAAATAAATTGCCTATATTCACTGAGAAATGGATAAAAAAAATCATTTTCAAAATGGGGTCAACCCCATTAAAGAAATCTTTGTATTTATTTTTTACTATACGTTGGTGAACATAAGAAATCCTTTAGAAATGTTACAAATCTTGCCATTTCCAAACTTGTCAGGAGTAGTCTACCTATTAATTTTGTTGGATAATTTGTCATCATTTTACTTTAAAATGGACTTTTTTGTTTTATGGGCTATATTCTTCCTTTCATTAGGACTGGTAGATTAATCAAAAAGTAATCAAAATTGGCATTCCAAACCAGTAATCGATCTGATTTTTTTCAAATGCTTACCTTACTGCTTGTAGAGTCACATGACTGCGCTGTTTGTTACTTTTGTGTTACTTTGCACTACATTGACGATGACGGGAAGCTGCGCCAGAGATTACATTAAAATATTTGTTTACAGAAGATTCAAGAAATGTACTGTTTAAAATGTCATTTACAGGATATGCAAGAGTTGTTTTATTTAGAAGAGATACAGCTTATTTTCTACTTTTAATATGAAAAACACTGGAAATTATTTATTTTGTTTCCAAAAGTGCAAGTTATTTATTTTAAAAAGTGATTGTTCATTTTAGGCCGTGTGTGTTTAATTTAATTTGTTCAACGGTGTGTTTTCCTCAATTATTTTAATTCAAGTACTGCACCCTTCATTCAGAAATCTCTTACTTGTAATATGTGAGCATATTTGCTGTACAAAACCTTTCAGTGAACTATGAGAGCAGAAAATAAATAAATGAAATAATTGTTCATTAATCATAATCGAGTAAAAATGTTCAATTAATCGAGATTAACATTTTAGGCCAAATCGGATAACCCCATCTCTCATCCAGATTCAGCATCCTGTGGTGTATGTTTAGTTCACAAATCATAATTTTCTATTCCTGAGATTTCTCTTGTACCAGAGAAAACACCCTGAACAACGATTGTAGAGTCACATCTCATGCGTGTTTCCTCAAAGGTAACAACGGTCAAATTCAGCTGTGGCAGTTTCTCCTGGAGCTGCTGACGGATAAAGACTCTCGCGACTGCATCTCCTGGGTGGGCGAAGAAGGCGAGTTCAAGCTCAATCAGCCGGAGCTGGTGGCTCAGAAATGGGGTCAGCGCAAGAACAAGCCCACCATGAACTACGAGAAGCTGAGCAGAGCTCTCAGGTGCGGGATACTTCTTCTTCTTGACTTTTAATTGGCGGTTGGCGTACAAGTTTGAAATGCATTTCTTGCCACCTGCTGATTAGCAGTCTGAATCAGAAGTGATATTTCTACCCATATCCTCTTATTTAGATTCTGTTATATAACACAGTCTCCCTGCGAAACATCTTTTATCTCCTGCTCCACTTTTTAAAATAATATTAGGATCTCTGTTTTTATTGTTAGTCTCAATATCCGTGATCATCTTATTTCGGGATTATCACTTCCGGTGACGTTTTAAAGAAGCACAGTCATTCTCATTTCAAAACTCTTCCCATTACAGGTACTACTACGATGGAGACATGATCAGCAAAGTGCAAGGCAAGCGATTTGTCTACAAGTTTGTGTGTGACCTGAGGACTCTGATTGGCTACAGCGCCGCCGAGCTCAACAACCTGGTGACGGAGTGCGAACAGAAGAAGCTGGCGCGGGTGCAGCTGCAGGGCCTCGGTCAGCCTGTAAACACAGTCACTCTGGCCACCGCCACAGGTCAACCCGTCACCACAGTTACTCTGGCCGCCGCCGCGCTGGACAAAGACAGCTGAGGAGAGACTCCCAGCCAATCAGGAGGAAGACAGGAGCAATCCGGGTTTGATATTTGACTTTGGGCCGGGGTGGGAGAACAGCGGGTTTGTAAGCAGATGTGCGCTTTGTGTGTGTGGATGAATGAATGTGTGTGTGGATGTGAGAAAAGTATAGATGATCACGTATGAGCTTTCAGTTTTTTGTATGCTTGTTCTCCGACTGCAGGGTAGCATCGGCTATATTTCCATTGTATATAACTCTATGTTTTTGATAGCCACGTGGGCGCAGTGTATTTTGATATTTTCCATTTGTAAAGGATCTTTTTCTTTTTTCCTTTTTATTTTCGAGTGTCCGATTCCCTCAAGGTGAGGTACTTTTTACTGTCCACCAGAGGGCAATAAAGAGACAGTTGGTTTTTTGAATTTCATGAGTCTTGCTTAATGGAGCAGTATAAACTTACAAGCTGAGTCCCAAGTGGCAAACTATGCTCTTACCTAGTCTGTACTTATGCACTTGCACACTCAACAGCATAGTGTATGAATGTAGTGCCATGATTATAACCGCATACTCCATCGGGAGGTGATATAATCACTGTCATAGGAGAATAGTGCTTTCACAATTTAAAATAATCCAACATGAGCGCCCCAAAAGCTCCACCCTTTCCGCTATTTGAGCAAAGCAGCAGCTGTTGAGTGTGTAAAGTGTTCAACATTCTACTCTTCTTTCTAAAGGTTGAATAGGAGCATCGTCTGGGTAATTAAAGTGTTTTCAGTGTGAATGTACTACTCACACCATTTTAACTACAAAATGGCGTAGAATAGTGCATAAGTATGCCACTTGGATGGCCCCTACAAACATGGAGTCAATCTAGGGCCATGTAAACTTGCAAAATAAAAGAAAGATTTGCAACAAAAAATAAAGTATAGAGCAAAAGTTAAATAAATGAATGCAAATCTCCAAACATCGCGAAGCGAAAAATTTACTTTTGAAATATAAAAATTAATTTTGCAAACAAAAAAACTGCAAAAAAATAATATATACACACACACACACACACACTCATATATATATATATATATATATATATATATATATATATATATATATATATATATATTTGCAGAACATTTATTAGAGCATTATTACAAAACCCATCATCAATTGCAATCCCCATTTTGATTTGCTTTTTAGTCCACCGTGGGTTTGCTCAATAGTTTATTTTTTGTTTGCAAAATTTTTTGTTTTGCAAGTATATATGGCCCTAGATTGACTTCATACAAACACACCCTTTGACAAAATGATGGCAATCACAAGCACTTTGTATGTACATTCAAAACTTTATTCATGGGTTACAGTGTTGTAGAAAGCTTTTTTCTCCCCCTTCTGAGCCAATGATGGGAATAGACAGCGAAGGAAAACGTCACAGAAAGAGCTTTCTCCGTTTCCTACTGACCACAGACACTCACTTGGAGCATCCACAAATCAGCACAACACCAGATTTTGGAGCTAAGGTAATTCTATACAGGAACGTAATGAGCAGTGTGCACTGTGACAAAACTGCACAATGTTTGACTGGTTTAATGGCTGTGTTTCATTCAACAGATTTTTTACAACTTCCATCAACATCAGAGCGACTCATTATATCCTATCTTAGCGATTCCTTCCCACCTGCTCTGGCCTGTAAGGTGCTATGAGATACTTCGGTGAAAGGATAAAAGAGGTGAGGAGTTTCTGTCCCAAAAAGTGTTCGTGAATATCACAGACACTGGGAGGGGAATACAAAGAGGGAGGGAAACTGGGACAAACCAAAAAACACACGATTGAAAAAAAATGGTGGCTATTTTTGAAGCAAAATCCCACCACTCTATTACCTCCCTTCCCTAATCCAGGCCCCATAACCAAATCCTGACATGGAGTAAAACTTCATGAGGCAAATAGGGCGTCTTTGACCCATTTATAAAAACTAAACTGCCAAGTGCGTAGAGTGTTGAACCAAAACGTGGGCTAATATTACACTTCATAATACAATACATACATCTTTTTCCAGCCCCATGCAACCATTAAGTGTGCGTGGCATGGTCTAAAGCAGAGGAGTCCAAACTTCCGGTGTCCTGCATAGTTTAGCTTCAGCTTCCTTCTACACATCTGCCTGGAAGTTTCTAGTAAACCTAAAGAGCTTGATAAGCTGCTTCAGGTGTGTTTAAATAGGGTTGGAACTAAAATATGCAGGATGCCAACCCCCCAGGATCGAGTTTGGACACACCTGGGCTAAAGAAAATAAAATAAGAGAGCACACTTTTCATTGAAACATGTCCCTGTGACGATGTAGCCAAGCAGAATTATTTGATCATTTTCTCTCACTTATTTAAAATGTGATCACAAGAAGACGATTAAAATGTACAATCCAGCTAAAATCTCTACACGAGAGAGAGAGAGAGCGGTCAAAAATCTTCCTTTGGATCCAGAAACCGCCTCTCTCTCTGTTAAAATTGCCATGCACTATATAGATACAGCTAATTTCTGCCTTAATTCAATACATATTACACACAAAATAAAAACAAACATTCATTTCTGATCTCTGTCAATGTTTTTTTTTGTTCTTTTTATGCATTTTTTTAGTTTTTACTAGTTTTTAAATATATATTTTTTTGTTTCAGAGAAAAAAATAACCTGAATGGAAAGCGTATTGATGAATACATTGCTCTGCGTCTGCGGTTGGAGCCGAACACAGCACTGCGTCATCTGAGTGCCCGGGAAAAAGGGAGGAGGCAGGAAACGTGCAAAACAAAAGAGCAAGTGCTTCAAGAAGTTTCTGGAAGGGGAACAAAAATGCTCAAGCAAGAAAGAGAGAGAGAGTGAGAAACGAAACTACAGCATGTGAATGGACAGGAGGATCATGGGTAAGTTTAGAAGGGCAAAAGAAAACGGCTTCATTCTCGGCAACAGTGCTGTGATGGACAGGCATGAAAGCGCACAGATGGACGGGGCTGCTGACAGATGGGCAGCAGTGATGCATCATTTTTTCTGTGCAGTCTGAGTGAGCGCTGGCTTGATTGGATGAAATGCTGAGGTGATGGAAGCCAATGATGGTGACAGAGCTGACCGGTGTTTGTGTGTGTGGGGGTCAGTCTGTTTCTCTGTCTTGATGCAGAGGTGATGATGGTGGTATTTTGGGGAATGATGATGATGATGTGGATCTTTAGTTCTGCATTTGCTCAAAGAACTTGTAGGTGGGGTTTTCATAGCCATTCTGCTGCATCTTTGCCAGATGACGTTCTTCAGGAGTCACTGCCGCATCCACCTGGAATAGCAAAAAAAACATGAGTGTTTGCACATCTAGAAAATTCTTGAAGGCAGGTGCTTGATTAAAGCCCTGCTTACACTGAGATTTCAGCCACGATTTTGTCATCTGAGACAAATTAGGGAAATCCTAAAAGATTCCTGAAATCGTAGGCTAAAATCGGTGATCTTTGATCGTTGGTTTAACATGTTCACTGACAGCTGCTTACTGCCCGTTGTGATCAGATTTTCCTCCGATGAAGTTCTGGCAGTGTTAGAAAATTTCAGACACTTCCCTGCAGTGTGACAACAGCTGCGATGAGCGTCAATCCAACAGCCAATAAGAGCTCCGAATTTGATGACGCGACTCATGCGACAATTTAAACGACCTCAGGGAAATGTCAAAATGTTTTTTTCTTCCTGGTTTTATTATTGAGACACAGCTTGTGCAAAATTGCGCTACAGATTGTTTACATTCGTCATGAGGAATCATTTCAGAACGTGGTATAGTAAAAGTGTCGGGTGGATGACGTCAAACTGGTGGGGACGTTTTCTTCCGTGTTTGGCGTGTCTGCAGTCTGACATGCTACAATCGTTCAGGATTCAGTGTGAGCCAGCCTTAAGCCAAACACAATTAAAAAAGTTACAAAAAAAATAAATAAAAACTGACCCACTGCATCTGTGATATTCGTTTGCTTAGTCGTAAAGTATGGAATAGAGTGGAGGAACTATGACGCCTTGTAGGCCAATCGACTGCTAGCATAAAACTGTTTCCCTCGATAAAAGTTTTAACACATGTACCGTATGTTTTATTAACGTGCCTACATATTATTATCCTCATATGATATATATAGCAATATGCTATAAAATTTGAGAAGTGTAAATATTGCAGTTATGATGGAGTAAAATGTTTCAGAAGAAGAAAAAACGACGAAAAATCGTTTGATCACGTTAAAATGATACTTTAAGTTTATGCACTTTTACAATTTAATTCACACATTTGCGTAACTAAGAGCAGGAAAGAGACAGGCAGCCGTCAGCAGAATAAAATCATTATACAGCAGTATAAAATAGATGATCAGCAAATTAATCTGTCATGACTGTCTCTAAAACTGAGGAAAATACTACAAACTATAAAATACTCATTGACTTTGGGACGAGGGAACCGAAACTGCTAAAATGCTAACTCACTTCTGGGGTTTTGCATAGAAATTGACGTCATAGTTCCTCCACTCTATACTGTTTCCACTACTCATTTGAATTGAGATAATAATAGTTCATGACCACTTTTTAGTCAAGTCACACATTTAAGTGAATTTTATATAAAATCATTGTGTACACGACAGACTGTAGAATTGCTGCTTCACAGACAATAATATTTGAGCAATTTTTAAAACATTGATCACTTTCTGGCTATTAGGCATAGATATATACATGTTGCGATCATGATTTTCTAAAATATACCATCGCTTTGAAAACGTTTATTATTACCAGTTGTTGAGTCTCTATATAGTTTGATAGAGCGCTTGGACCCGGAAGCTGCTTAGTGTGACGTCACAACAAATGGATATAATAGTTTAACAAATAAGTTAAATATTGATTGATTTTAATTTCATATACTATACTTGTGTTTTCATCTATAAAATAGTTTAGTTCCTCAACAAATCAGATTTTTACTGAATAGACTGAGCCTATTATTCAACTGATCCACTTTGTTAATAAATGAATTAGCCATTTGAATGGTTTGAAGAAATGATTCAACGGTTTAGTCATTATACAGCAACTTGCTGCCACCTTCTAGTGGTTTTTTAAAGGGGCAGTTCACCCAAAAATAAATATTCTGTCATCATTTACTCTCACTTTAAAACCTATTTGAGTTTCTTTCTTCAATTTATCACACAAAAAATATAGTTTGAAGAATGCTGGTTGCTGGCACCAATTGACTTCCATAGTAATTTTTCTCTACTATGGAAGTTAATTAGTGTCAGTGACCAGCATTCTTCAAAAAGTATTCTTAGGGGTTCAACAGATCTCATAAAGCTTTTATAAACGAGAGAATAAATAAATGAGGTCATTTCTATTTTTGGGTCAACTACCTCTTCAAACAAAAACAGTTGTTTAATTCTCCAAATATAAAAAATGAGAGAGAAATCCCAAACTACTATGTAAATACGTTTTTTTTTAAAGTACTAATTTAAATTTGCCTTGATTTTTATACTTTCATTACAATATAGCTTTTATTACAATATAGCTTTTTTTTAGCAATTAGCTGTCCATCATGATTAGTGAATAAGGATGTAAAATCAAGACTATACTTGATGAAATATTTGATTACTGACAACAAAACTTTTGCAAAAGACACAATCCAGGTGAATTTATTGCGTTAATTCAACAGATCACACATTCTGCTTTATTTGCGCTGCTCAGTAGGTATTCACTTGCATTCATGCATTTGTGTTGACTTTGATGATTTTTAAAGTTTTCAATTCTGTCACACTTCCATGGAAACGCACATAAACGTGACTCACCTCAATAACTCCATGATGAATAGAGGTGTACTGCTTCTTCCTGAGCATAACCAGAGTGATTACGATGACAGTGGCGATGACCACGCCCCCCACCATCAGCCCAATGATCGCACCCTTATTAGAGCCCATGTCCTCCGCGAGGAACATCTGATTCAACACAAACACATCACTTACTTATTACACACTGAAAAGGAGATAAATGTTATATATATTAATGTCAAGTGAAACAAAGTGTTGTACCAGTCTCTTGTCACGAACATCATAGCCAGCGTTGTGCCTTTCCTCAATGTCCAGCCGAACCTTTGGAATCTCTGAAAACGTATATAATTATATTTCTTAAATATGTGAAATTATTGAAAGAGGCAGCTGAAAAGAACACTAATTAAGTTCACATTTACCGGGTCTCGTAGGCAAACCCCTTTCGGGAATTGGACGGGCATCTACAGGTTCAACTAAGCAAGACAAAAAAATGCAGTTCATTCTCTTTAAAATTTATTTTTATAATTACTATAATTGTAAGCTTAATTACTAGTCTTTTTAGACATCATTCTGATATGCTGATTTGTTGCTATACAAAAATGCAAACAGCGCCCTTTAGTAGTTCTGTCATTGAAACTGAACAACAAATGCATCTTAAGTGATGTATTTCAAATTTGCAAAAATGTAGACAGCGCCCTCCTGAGTTTTTTGTCTGGAACATAAAACAAATGCACCTCAAGTAATATATTTTCAGACCTTCGTAAAAATGTAAACAGCACCCTCTAGTGGTTTTGTAATCTGAAACATACAACAAATGCACCCTAAGTAACATATTTCCGGTTTGCAAAAATGTAGACAGCACCTTTTAGTGTTTTTATTAGCAATATACACAAAAAACGCAACCTAAGCAACATATTTCAGATTCGCAAAAATCAAAACAGCACCGTCTAGAAGTTTTTTCACCTACAATTTCTAAATTAAAAGTAATATATTTTAGATTCACGAAAAAATGTAGACAGCGCCCTTTAGTGTATTTCTATCCAAAACGTATGACAAACGCATCCCTAAGTTATATATTTTAAATTCGAAAATGTCAATTGCGCCCTCTAGTGGTTTTCCATCTGAAATGTACAAAAGCGCACCTTAAGTAATATATTTCAGATTCGAAAAACTGTAGACAGTGCCCTCTAGTGTTTTTTCATCCGAAACATACAACAAACGCATCCTAAGTAATGTATTTCAGATTTGAAAAAATGTAGACAGTGCCCTCTAGTGTTTTCTTCATCCAAAACATACAACAAATGCACCCCAAGTAATATATTTCAGATTCGTAAAAATGTAAACAGCGCCCTCTAGTGGCATATCTAATGTTTGCTCTGTATAGTTGTATAAAGCTCAGGATAAAAATTAAGAGTTCCCTTTTTAAGTTGTTGGCTTAGAACTTGCCATTAATAAGAACGTGTTTCACAGTCAATAATGGGTCATCAAAATTTCAGAAAAGAATAAAATCCAGATCACTGAATTGAATAAAAGTACAGAAGGTCAATTTCAAACTTTTCCAGACCTTCATTAGTTAACACCAATTTTTTCATTGTAATTTTCTTTAGATAAATGCTCTAGATTTGTTAAAAGATAACATTCTTACCTAAAATTGTGATGAGATGTTATCAAACTAACACACAATTGAATATTTGACTCAAAACAAATAATACACAGGAATAATATTAACTAAAGGCATGTTGGTGTTACCGTGGTTATCAGTGTTGGCCTGGTTAAAGCTCTCGGGATGGATGAAGCCCAGGCCGTCCTGCTCTGGAGGAAGGTTGTCCAGTGGTGTGGTGCTGTCGGGCAGATCCGGCATCAGGGCATCGTTCCCATAACTGACCCTCATCTTACTCTGAAGAGACGACAGCTGCTGCGTCACCTCAGCCTGATCACGCTGAACCAGCACCGCTGCACAAAACACAGCATTTCATAATTCTTCATAATAATAATCATCACTTACATCACTTATATATATATATCGCCTTTAAAACTTAATTCTCAAAATGCTTTACACAAAAAATATACAAAAGTACAGTAAAACAGTTTTGAGTAACAAAAAAATAAAACATTAAAAATAAAACAAAATAAAATGATGTTATGTGACAACATATTCCATTTCCAGCACAGTTTGAGCCTCTGAAGTGCGATTAAAAAAACTCACCCACTTGATCCTGGATATCATTAGCCACTTGAGGCACTTTATAGAGGTAACCCAAAGACTGGTTCATGCGTTCCTCAATCACACGTAGGTGGGTCATCACCTAAAAGCACAGGGGCTCAAAATCAAGTTCTAAAGCATTTACACAAATCATAATTAAAGCAGGAACGAACAGCTTGACAGGAGCTTACAAATGGCCGAATCTGTGAAGCCTTCTTGGGATCGACCTCCCGCACGTGTTCAAAGTGTTTGAGAGTGTGCTGACGGTCCTTCTGCTCCGCACGGATATACTTCTTCAACAGATTCAGCACCTGCCGAGGCTGTATGAGACAGGATTATTTTTAGCTTATGTTATAATTTGTTTATTTATTTATGTTTGAATATCACATCAGAAGCACAGGCTATATTTATGGCAACATTTACTAGGTATTCTATATATAATTTACAGTCATAACTGATATGAAATTAAGATTTGTAGTTTTTTGGGGGCAAAGAACACAATTTTAACTAGTTTTATGTATTCATGTAGACAATAGCCACTTTCACACAGTAATACCAGTAAATATTGGGAACATTTCCGGAATGATTTCATTACTATTCATTTCTATAGACAACTTTCTTTTATATAAATAAAATCTATTACCTGATAAAAAACAAACAAACAAAAAAACACGTACAATAAAAGCAATAAATAAGCATGTCTAATAAATAAAATGTCAAAAAATTTCTGCCAGCTGGGGGCGAAGAAGCGTGGTTTCAATTTTATAGGCCAACAAAATCCAAAATCCTCAACAATGCTTAAAGCTGGCCATCATTTTCATAACTTTGCATCTATAGCTTTTGCCTTGGCACAGTCCTTGTCAAATGTCTTCATATTGTATTTGTTGTGCTGATTTTGGTAGTGGATAAGGCTGTTCATTGTTTAATAATCTTTATTAATTTCAGGCAAAGCTTCAGTAAGCTTATGAAAAGGATTTCGCAAATATAGTCTTTTTTTCCATAACAAAAAACGCAGCGGCATTAGCTCTCGTAACACACACGTCTGCTTTTGCATCAGCTCAGAAGTGACAATCAAAACACTAGTGGCCAGCAGAAAGCATGTCAAGCATGCATGTCAGCCTTTAGCAAGTTAAAGACATTTTAAGACCGTTATGAATGACATTTTTAGACTCATACAGAGCTAAACATTAAGGAGTTTTTCGAATGACCCAGTTGGGAAAGATTTTTATTTGCAAAATCATTTTTTAAAAATAATTTAATGCATCTATTAATACATTAATAATAATAAAGTAATATAAAAAAATATATATATTTTATTTATTTCTAAGTAAATATTTTAAATTTTGTGTCAAAACAGGCAAGCTCTAGTTATATATATTCACTTTTTTTTTCCACATAACCTTTCTTAAAAAAAAAAAAAAAAGAAAAGTAAAATGTTTTAAGTTTAAAAACTATAATAAACTAAATGTATGCACAACAGTCTGTCCAGGTCAGTGTCCTTCGCAGGACATTCATGGAGCACTTTTAAACAAATGTTGCTGTAAGGAAAATAATTAAACAGTTAAAAATCACATCCCTAAATAAAAAGTTAAAAGTTTTATTGAGATTGGCCAGATAGGGTAGCTATACATGAACAATAGAAAATTAACACCTGTTTAAAAAAATGTAGGACCTACAACACGATATTTAAGTAATTTAAGACTTTTTAAGGCCTACAATTTTGATTTTGAGATTTAAGACATTTTAGGACCCCACAGATACCTTGTATTATACCAATAACAATATTGAAAATGCAGTAGGCTTGTCATAATTTTTTTGCACGTAATACCAGATACCGAGGTAAAATAGCGAGGAGGTTTGATGGTATCAAAATTTGGATACCGCCCAAGCCTAAAATGCAGTTTATCATTTGATATTAATATGGCCACTCATATACAGTGCATCACTAAAAGATTGATTAACATAGTTAAAAAAATGTTGGTCAATGAATAAAAGGATTTTAAAGAGATTCATTTATGAGTCATTGAATTGTTCACTAAACCAGTTTCTCCCCCTAATTCAATCAGAAGAACTGCATTTGCAAACAGTCTACAGACTGTGCTGTTTTATTGAGTATAGCAGTGTTTGTGTACCCGTGGCTGCTAAAATGGCATAGTTAAAAATATGTTTGCCAATGGATCATATGTTAAACAGATTAATCTATGAGTCGTTGAATTGTTCATTAAACCAGTTCCTTTCTAATCGGTTCAAATGACCTGCATATGCAAACAGACTGCAGACTGTGCTGTTTTGTGGAGAATAGGAGTGTTTGTGTACCCGAGGCTGGTCAGACTGAAGGGAGCTCAGGTAGCTTTCCAGAGCCTGACGGCGGCGGTCATTCAGTAGGGCCTCCACTCGAGCCATGTGCGTTTCCACCAGCTGCTGTCTCTCTCCAGCCGCTTCCTTCTCCAGCGACTCCACCTTCTCCTGGAAGCGCTAGAAAAACAGCAATAAAGCCAGTAGACGTTCATTAATCCCCAAGAATAAAAAAGCACAAGCTGTTCAATCCCCCTGAAAGCCCCCTCCACTTTAATGGGAGATGTATGCCGTACTACTAAATCTGAACACACTTAAACCGCAACCCCGCTAAGTGCTTTTATATAAGCGGTCCAACAAGCCACTACATCACATTAACAATAAACGCTGTTTACTCTCAGCTCTTTACTGCTCATGAATCATCAGCCAGCATATCCCAATCACATTTATTAAAAGCTGAATGCTCACCTGAATTATGGTCTTCTTATCAGCACGAGGAAGGTTCTTGGCCTGTCTCTCGGCCTCCTCCCATTCCCTCATCACCTGAACACAGATAAGAGACATGGAAGGACAGGAAAATGGTCACCAAATTAATCTCCAACACCAAAACAACGAAAATAAAGAGGTCACATGGCACTCTGTGTTTTAGGATATCTGCAATGGTAGTAAAACTGAATCAGTATGTTGAAATATTATTTTCCCACAATTTATCAGGACTGTGTTTTAAATGTTTTTTTTAATTTTAGTGATCAAAATAATGCAACTTTTAAACCTTTTTCTTTGCTGCTGCATGGAGGGTGCCATAGTGACCAGCACCTTCTGGTAGGCAGCTTAGAACTTCCATTAAGAGTTGTCATTAGCCAGAGCAGCGTTTCTCAACTGGGTGTCAGTACTGTTTTAGGGGGCTTAGGGAGTGTTTTTGTGATGCAAAACTTTAAGTTTGAAAGAAAGATGTGTGTAAAAGCTGTTATGCTTCTGTCAGATGCGGTTCAAGTGTGAGAGAAATACACTCTCCTAATTTAGAATCTGCCTTCTGATCAGATGTTGAAATATAGCGTCAGTGTTCCTGACCTGTCAGCTGTTATAATGTACTCCGTGGCTCTTCAACACACACACACACACACACACACGCACACATGCACACTAAGGCTGGGCAATTAATCGAAAAGTAATTGAAATCGACATTCCTAACCTATAATCGATCAAATTTTCCAGGTCAATTTTTTCAATTACTTTCCCTACGGCGTGTGGAGCAATGACTGGAGTCACGTGGGTTCTAAGAAAAAAATCTATACAATTTAAAAACAAACTATTTTTCCAAATGTAACAGTGGAAATTGTTCTAAAAGTTTGAACTAAATATTGGTTGTGACAAGTTGTTGTAAGTTTCTAATTTCATGATTCCTTTAAAAAGTCAAATGTGGCTAAAGTGACTATTAGAGAACATTTAAAATGAAAGGCCGAATTATTAACCCTTTTGTGAAATTTAAATTATTTTTAAAATATTTGAAGCTTAACAGAGCAAGAAAGTTCTCACCGTGTTTCCTATAATATTTCTTTCTTTAAGAGAATGTTTTATTTCCTTTAGTTTGCTTGGAATAAAAGCAGTTTGACATTTTTTGAAATCATTTTTAAGGTTGAGACTGTGACCATGTTTTCTCAGAGTAAACTTTACACTCTCAACATTGTTTGTGAGGACTTTAGTAGCATTCTACTTTGAGCCTTTATTTTGAGTGTTATTTTAGTTTATTATTTTGTGTGTAGGGCAGCACGGTGGCATAGTGGGTAGCAAGTTCACCTCACAGCAAGAAGGTCACTGGTTCGAGCCTCGGCTGGGTCAGTTGGCATTTCTGTGTGGTTTGCACGTTCTTTCCGTGTTTGGGTGGGTTTCCTCTGTTTTCCCCCACAAGTCCAAAGACATGTGGTATAGGTAAATTGGGCAGGCTAAATTGTCTGTAGTGTATGAGTGTGAATGAATGTATATGAATGTTTCCCAGTGATGGGTTGCAGCTGGAAGGGCATCCGCTGCGTTAAACATATATTGGATAAGTTGGTGGTTCATTCCACCGTGGTGACCCCTGATTAATAAAAGGACTAAGCTAAAAAGAAAACCAATTTTGTGTGTAAATGTGATGAAAATACCCTTTATATAAATATAAAATTATTATAATTTTTTTAGGTGTCCATTTGGTAGATTTATATCTACCTGGCACCCAGATAAAAATATATATTCAGGAATTAAATTCATTTTTTGTAAATTTAGTCAGTTTCAGTAAAATTGGAGTACACACACGCCACAAGGTCAATATTTTTAGCATACTTAAGAACAAAGCACTGTTGTTGTTATGTACTGTCATCATAGCAAAGACAAAAGAAATGAGTTATTAGCAATTAGTTTATTAAAACTATTATTTAAAAGTGGATTGAAAACTGAGAGAAAAGGGTGAATTATTTAAAAAGATTTGGAATCCATTTTTTAATTATATAAGTTAATTAAATCCCTTTAATTCATTTAAAAAAGGGATTTAAAAAAGGGAATTACATTTCTTTTTAAAAATGTATTATTATTATTATTTTTTTGATATAGTGCGTATGTTTTCGATTATTTTGGTTGTTGCTTATTTTTAATGTTCTGTATAGTTAACTTTTGAAAAAGCAAAATAAAAATATATAATAAAACAATTTTCAAAGGAGGGCTAATAAATATCTTTGCCGTCTACTGTAATGTGATAATATATAAGATAACTAAATGCTAATGTCAAATGATTTAAATACTGTTTTTAAAGTAAACATATTCTTTTGTCCTTTTTAAAAATAAAACTCTGCTTTTGAATGTATATACACTACGTTTGGGGTCAGTAGGATTTTTAAATGTTTTATAATAAGCTTCTCTTGCTCACCAAAGCTGCATTTATTAAAAAAAAATGGTACAAAAAGTACAATTGTTTAATTAATTGCATAATTTAATTTATTAATTTATTCCAGTGATTTTAAAGATTAATTTTCAGCTTCATTACTCCAGTCACATCAGTGGCATGATCCTTCAGAAATCACTCTAATATTAATTATTATTATTATTATTAATTGTAATAGTAATAAAACAATAATGACTGGATTAATAATTTAATTTAAAACTACATACAAATGTTAATAAATATTCAATAATTTAACCATTTTTTTTTACATTTAATAAATTCCGCCTTGATGAACAGAATAAATATCTATATATATATAAAAAAAAAAAAACATACCCCAAATTTTGACCGGTAGTGTATATTTAACCAAACATCACATTCAGTCAAATCCTAATTACAATTTCATACAATTTATCCTCTCTTTATAGTCTCATAATACTCTGCATAATTCCTCAAAAGAGTCTCAACATTCCTTACTTACAAGCTCTAAAGTGACGTTTTTGAAGTAGCAACAGAGGCTTTTGCTCAGCTCTTAAACAGACAAACAGAGATTTGAATCCAGAACTGAAAGTTAGTTCCTCACACAGTCAGTGGTTGTTTCTTATTTATTTACACAAGTGTGCCACCAAACCACTGAATAAATGCAATCCCACACTCAAAGCTGTGTGATTTGATTCTTTATCAGCACGGCACTCATGCGATATTGTTCATTACAGAATGCTGTCAGTGTTTATAGCACTTTTTCTTAGTTCCTCTTTTGTAATTTCCTCTCATATAACTGAAGGGTAATAAATCTTCTGATGTTCTCACCTCTGACATTTTCTCTCGGTGTTTGGCCTCCAGGCTCTCCTTTGCCTTCTGGAAGCGCATGTGTTCGTTTATATCTCCTGGAGCTTCCAGGTAACGATCCACCGCATCAGCAGGGCTCGGGGCCATGGTTGGCACTAGAGACAGAGATGAGTCTTGTTCAATGACAGTCACACAAAAAAAGACAGATAAATGGGAGCCAGAGAATCTTCCTTGCAGCAAAGAGAGCGAAGACTCCTGGGAAAGAGCTGCTAGTTCAGGCGCAGGTTAAAATTGGTTAGCAGAGACAGAAACGCTTGCGCGAGATTGCTTTTGCCAAAGGTTGCTCTACTGCAAGAGGCTGAAAGTGGACTCAGAGAGATGAAAGAGTTTCATGCTGGAGGTTGTGTGAAACGGAAGATCTGTGTGTGACCAAAAATGTGTTTTCTATGTAAATAAAAATAAATGTCACTGCATTAGAAATGATCATGTGTGTGATTAAGATCCTACACTGAAGTAAAGAAATAATGAAATAGAAAAAAAAAAACATTTTAACCATATTTCAACCCTAAAGAATGAAATAAATGAAAACAACAACAAGAAAAAACAACAACAAGAAAAAAACTGCACTCTTTTGAATGCTATGAAATTTGTTTCCTCCTATTGTTTTATTTTATTATTAGATCCCATTAATTTTATTTCTAATAAAATTCCTAATAACATTTATTCATTCATTCATTTTCCTTCGCACTAAGGCTGATTTATACTTCTGCGTCAAGCACACGTGCAGCCTTCGCACGGTCGCATATCCCTCGCCATGGCTGACGCAGCCAATGACGCTCAACTCTCAAAAACTACACATTACAACGACGTGTAGCGCAAGCTCTGTGATTGGTCGTCTTGTGACGAGTGTGGGGGTGGTGCAGATAGCCGTGAGCCCGATTGAGTGAATGTTTACATTAAGTGTGTCAAGTTAAGATTATGTGTAGTTAAGTGTGGAGTCCCGTGAAGAAGCTCCAGGTGGAAACTTTTTTTTTTGTGTTTACCTTCTGATTAAAGTTGTTACACGTCCACCGGATCCCGCCTCTGAATTAACAAGTTTTAGCTTCTTGTAGAGTTCAGAAAAAACTAAACACCCACGAAGAAACTTGAAACAGAAACATAAAAACCCGCTGCCAGCTAGCATTTTGGAAGTGTTATTGCAGAGAAACACAAACAGCACAGAGAAGTTTAAATGCACGGTTAATCGCAAGGCAGGCGCCATCGGTCATAGTGATTGCTCAACGCAGAAGTATAAATCAGCCTTTAGTCCCTGGTTTATTTGGGGTCGCCACAGCAGAATGAACTGCCAACTATAAAAAATTTTATACATAAAATATACAGTTGAAGTCAGAATTATTACCCCCCCCCTTTTATTTATTATTATTATTATTTTAAATATTTCCCAAATGATGTTTAACAGAGCAAGGAAATTTTCACAGTATGTCTGACAATATATTTTCTTCTGGAGAAACTCTTTTTTGTTTTATTTTGGCTAGAATAAAAGCAGTTTTAAATTCTTTAAAAACCTTTTTAAGGACAAAATTATTAGTCCCTTTAAGCTATTTTTTTTCTGGTAGTCTACGGAACAAACTACCATTATACAATAACTTGCCCAATTCCCCTAACCTGCCTAGTTAACCTAATGAACCTAGTTAAACCTTTAAATGTCACTTTAAGCTGTATAGAAGTGTCTTGAAAAATATCAAGTCAAAAATTATGTACTGTCATCATGGCAAAGATAAAATAAATCAGTTATTAGAAACGAGTTATTAAAACTATTATGTTTAGAAATGTGTTGAAAAAATCTGCTCTCCGTTAAATAGAAATTGTGGAAAAAATAAACATGGGCAAATAATTCAGGGGGGCTAATAATTCTGACTTCAACTGTTTATAATTATTCGTTATATAAAGTTTTAATGTGTTCAGTAAAATACGTCATGACATCTTTTTTTACAGAGAAACATGCAGAATTCATATTTAAATAGCTTTAGCAGTTTAATATAGAAACAGTTCATATATAAATTTGATTACAAGTACAGTCCTACTTTATTTATTTTTGTTTTATTCAACAATTTGCTATTTTTTTATTTTGCAGTAAATTCCATTTTTATGACTAAATTTCAAAATTCTGACAATTTTCACAAATCTCATAAGAAGCTAAAATGTGTAGAATTTAATAAAACTGTATTGACCTTATTCTTGCAGAATTAATGCGGAAGTGTGGCGTTTTTGCGACTTCTGATTCCGTTGCCCATGGGAGAAATGACTGGCAATAATAAACGGTCAAACAACTTGCTCTACAAACAAGTCGTCACCTTGAAATTATAGAGTTCTATCTGTATTCTGAATGATTGTGAGATATTGAGCTTCAAAGTTTTTGCATCCTATAGCAAACAGTTTGTGTGTAACATTTGTTTTTTTAAATAAAGTTTTTTTTAATGCAATTAAGTTGTCATTTAATAAGAATATGTCAATAACTCAATTTTGACAAAAATGTCAGAATCTTATAATTCTAAGGTGACGAAGTGTTTATGACTGTACATAAAAAGAATAATAATAAAAATTAGAAAAGATCAGTTTTTAACGTAAAGCAGCATAACGAGCCGTTTTTAACATCTAAAAATCAATGGAAGTGAATGAGACCGGAAGTCTTCAGCCAAAAAGATTCCAATGGCTGCACCTGCTCGTATATCGAAATAAGATCAATAAGAACAGAAATTAAAAAGGGTATTCTAATATAGTGCAGTTCCACTAATAAAAACAAAACTTTTGTCTTAATTTTGAAACTGTATCAATTGTTTGAAGATTATTTTTGTGAAATGTTTTATTTTGTAATCCTAAGTTTATAACATTTTTTGAGCTATCTTTAAAGGGCACCTATGATAAAAATCATCTTTTGGAAGCTGTTTGGAAAGACTGTGTGTAGGTATAGCGTTTCTACAGTCATACTGGAGTGATATAAAGACAATAAGCCTTTTTTTTTATTTGCAGATGTTAAAATCAATCCCGGTTTGTGAACGTTACATCAGCTTCAGATATCCATAGAGCAGTGTATATTAATGTGTATCCTATTACATTTGCCATGCAATAACACAGCAAAGTTAAACGCGCTTGCTGTGTGTGTGCGTGTGTGTCTGTGAGTGAACTATGTAACAACATTGTGGGTGACTCATTGTTGCAACTCAACAAGAAATCCATCAAATAATCATTGGGAAAGTTCTTACAGTAGTATTTCTCACAAACGTTATGTGAGATCTGCTTCCTTCATGTCTGTCACTGTGCTGTTTATCTGACGCAGCCGAGGTGGAGATTAAGGCACACTTTAACAGGCACGTGTGAATGGTGGGCGGGGAGAACTAGCATTAAAAGCACAGGCATTAAAAACAGCTACATTGTGTTCAGAGCAGAAGATTCCATGACTCTGAAAGCTATAACCAATAATCTGATTGATGTTTTGAGCTGAAACTTTACAAACACATTATGAAAAACATATCTTAAATCTAGAAAAAGGGGTAAAATAGGTGCCCTTCAAATGAATTGCTAGTTGGTATGCTATGCTGCAATGCAGTGATATTTCTAAACGTCATTGTGTTACTGTAAATGTATGAATTGTATATCATCTCCTTTGAGGCTGCTGTGACACTTTCTGACAGCGAGCATGCGGGAACAGCCAGCCCGGCTGTGAGGAATATGCCCTGTCAGGATGAGGGCTGCTCCGCTGTCACTTTCCCACAGAGTCCAGCATTGTGCTTAACCGAGCAGAAAGCGCTCACTGAACCACTGCCACAGACCGGTCTGACCAGAGGCCGACTGCAGCTCTATCACTGGCCACACACTGAGATAAACACACACGCCCAGAGAGAGAGGCACATCCAGTACTGCAGTGCTCAGCAGATTCACAAACACACACACTGACATGCGGGCGCACTCGAAACAGACACAAGCACAAACAAACACTCAGCCTATCAAATCTGTCAGTATCTACTCTGGAGGATCTCTGGAGGATACCACTGACTCAGAAAACATTTTACACAGCAACTATTACGCACTTGAACAACTTTAATATTTTATTTATAATACTGATATTGATAACTTGCAGTTCAGTCATGGAGATTGTAAATGTTCTGATGAATTGAGTGAGATTTCCAACGGACACCTAAGATTTAATTTATTATAGACATTAAGATAATATATTTCAAGAATTCATAAAAAAATATTAAGGGAAGTTTCGCAAACTAATTTTGAGAGGAGCACGTGATGGGATTCACTACAGCTGATCCCTAACACTAATCACTAACTAGCCAATCGAATCATTCTAAATTTAATGTAAATAGTCAGCCTAAACTTCATTCCTCATCTTCGTTACCCCCCCCATCCATCCCTTCTCCCTCCTCCTCAATTCAAAGTTCGGGTGACACAGTGGCTATCACTGTTGCCCAACAGCAAGGGGGTCGTTGGTTCAAACACTAGCTGAGCCAGCTGACACTCTCTTTGCTGAGTTTGCATGTTCTCCCCGTGTTCGTGTGGGTTTTCCCCGGGTATTCCGGTTTCCTCCAACTCAAAAAACATGCGACTAAAGTTAAAGTCACAAGCTCCTATTATGTACAAATTAGCGCAGTTATCGGTCTATTCTTGGGAAGTTATCGAGAACTATCTGATCTCGTATCCCTCCTAATGCTTATTGACCAGGCGGGTACCTTGGGCTCATCTATCTCCGAGCTCAGGGTTCTCTCCCGGGACAGCATGCCAAACCTGCTAAAATAGTCAAGCATTATCCAAGTGTGAACTCTTGAATTTTTTTAATTTATATGTGAATCAAACTATTAGGTTGTGAGGTTTAATTCTGCTTCATCAAAGACTGTACTATACCATTGTACTATTATTGTACTATATCCAGATAAGGTGCAGATGGTGTGGATGAAATGTAATATAATATTCAATTACAGTAGTATTCAAATCACGACAACTCTTGGAAACTCATGCTACCTGATATGGAAATGTGAATGTATTGTTTTTGGTGGAATCGTAGGGCTGGGTAAAAGAAAGTATTCTTCATTTAAATTAATCTTCCATTTAACAAAACTACATAAACTTGGGAAGGTCTCAAATACATTCTTAATACGCCTGCTATACTTCAAAATACGTAAAAATTATCTGAATACGTGCAAATACTTCTTCTCTTATCCCAAAGATATTGCTAACTTTTGTGTTGCTCCAACAAAACAAATCTAATCTGAACAAATTAGAATCAAATCGAAACCTTATAAATAAGTATTAAACCAAATCATTGAGTTGATTGCAATTCCCAGCCTTGCTGTCTATACTAAATTAAGCTTTGTCTGAGAGGTACTATAGTCAATCATTTTGACCAATGTATTAAAAAGACTAGGTATTTAATGACATAACTTTAGGTTATTTGTCTATTTTACTTTCATTTCCTTATATAAGGTTTACAGCACCTGGATGTGAATCAGTCGTGTTACCGGGTGGGTTTTAGAACCTGTAAGTCAGCAGAGGCTAATGCTACACAAGTGACTGTTTACTTGCTGAGGGATAGTGTACACAGAGATATTCTCTACTCACATTCACAGTTTCAAATCAGTAATCCAAAACAGCTCATCTTAATCACAAACAAAAGTTCACCTAAGATTGTTGATCTGATCTTCTTCCCTCAGACTCATGAGGCCCACACGGAATCTGCACATGCAGAAATCCACCGATTTCCGCAGATTGTTAGTCCATCATTGAGTCAATACATACAAGTATGTATTTACTTGAGTAATTGTGTGTAAATTTATTATTCTGTTTTTAAATTGATTTCACTAATATTATTGTGATGTAATAATAGGAACATTAAAATGATTTATTTGCAATACAGTTAGTAAAGTAACATTTTTTGTCTTTTAGTATAGTTATGTTATTTGAGAAACTTGTTTTGTTTAACAAATAAGTGGATCTAATTGGATTTGCATTGTAAACATTCAAAAATAGTTTAAAAGGTATTATTTTTTATTTAATTTATTAAGTTTTTAGTTATGATTCTCCTAAAATAAACCTGCATAAATCCGCAGATTTCTTTTTAAATTCTCAAGCAGAAATAGCAAAAAATGTCTGCAGATTCTGTTTGGCCCTATTCATGAGCAGTGTCATGTTCAGGCTCATGCACACTGCATGTGAGTTAGCCACGCCCCCTTATTTACATGTTCTGGTTGGCATGTACTAAAAAATATTTTATGTTTGACTATTTATTTTATGTGCCATTGTGAAGTCACATCAAAGCCAATAGATGACAAGCTGAAAATCATTAGCCAAAAAGCATAACAGCTAATGCTAATGCTAGACCAAAGGCTGTTTTTTAATGGATGTCAATGGAGGAGAGGCATTACTATGCTAAATAAAGAGCATTAGTGAGGAAATAACTTTCAATTGAAATCCTGTTTGCTTATCAACATGTTTCACTAAACAACACGTTCATAGTGAACCATATGTATTTAATTGTAGTCCAGTTAGGAATACTCCGATTTTCATCTCCACATAGTATGAAAATCTCCAGTCAAATCAAGTCATCATCTCTTGCAAATGCCTTTAAAAAACATGTAAAAATTATAAAGCCCGATAAATACAGCAACAATCCTTTTTAATTTATGACTTTTTTTATGAGAGTAGTATATATTATTATTGTCTAGGTATGTATGCAGGCCATATTTATGTATGTGTTTATGCATGCATGTATTACTGTTGTTCTTTTTTTTTACTTTTATGAAAGTGAAAGCCTATTTTTCCCCTTATAACTTTCAATAGTGATTTGAACACACACATATATTTTCTTTTGACATGTTTAGTGGATTCAGGAAATACGGGTGAAGAGTATAAGCAAAGTTCCTGTGTGTTCAGAAATAAAGCAGCACAGGAGGTTAAACTAAAAGAACTGGATGCTCTGGCTGTACAGTCACCTCACAGAGACCTGTAATCCATGCGGGCTAAAGCATCCAGCCATCTGCTGAGCTTGTGAGTTTGGCAACGAATGAAGCGAAGAAAGTGAGAAAGAGACGAGGTGCTGGTTAGAGAGCGGAACTTCCTCTGAGGAGACGTCTTGACTTACACACACTGCTGCTGCAGACAGCCATGCAGTACTCCTCTGACTCAAAGTTATTGCGGTTTCCCCCGCAACCCCCAAAGGTGAAGGAGGCGCATCGGCCCTTCTCTGCCACAAAATACCAGCGGGGCAGCTTGGCATGGCACGGCCCTGACCGAGCAGGGGCCCAGCACACCGCTAATGGGGAAGAGACACTCTTGATTTCATAAGTTTTAGTTTTGTTCTGCCTGTCCAGTGCATTCTAGGAACTGCACACTGGATACTGAAATACACACTACCGGTCACAAGTTTGGGATGTTTCAAAATAACTATTTTTTGATCAAGGTTGCATTTTTATTTAAATAAACAATAAAACAGTAACAAAAATGTTTTATACTGTGATATTTGTTATAATGTAATTTATTTTTGAGATGTAGAGCTACCTTTTCAGCATTATTACTTTAGTCTCACTGAATTACTGCTTTATTAAGATAATTTATTATTGGTGCTCAATCAATTGTCATTAGTGTTCTTATTTTCAGTGTTAAAATGTGCAAAAAGCAAACAAATAGTCCTGCACAGTCAATATATTAAATTTAACGCTTATATATATGTGTGTGTGTGTGTGTATGTATGTGTGTGAGTGTGTGTGTGTGTGTGTGTGTGTGTGTATATATGTATATATATATATATATATATATATATATATATATATATATATATATATATATATATATATATGCATTTCATTACTTTCGTAACTGTTTATGGTCATGACTAAAGACTCTAAAATACACAAGATGTTACCCATATAGTTTTGAATGGGGAAAATTGTAACGGTCAATGTGGTGAATTAAGCCCTGCCTATTAGTACAGGAGGCAATCGTCGATCCTTATATGCTGATGTTTCTCTGAGGGGAGAAGCTTGAACCAGACATGTGCTTTTATGACATGCTTTGTGGTCAACAAACCACTTGAATCTCAGCAAATACTTGCTTCACAGACGTAAGAAATATGTTCACATATAACTTGAAATCTGTAGTTTGTCTAGCTCCAGAAGACCAGCGTAATCACACGATCATAATCAAGAGGATGATAATGTGTAGAACGACCATAAATGAGGTTGGTGTCGTGATCTTGTTCCTTTTGAGTGCACACGCGCATTAGCTTGAGCACCCTGGAAACATGCAGATTTAGTTTGATTTGAATGTTTAGAAATGAAACTTATGAGACGGTTTTTGTTAATTTTATTGATGATTCCAAATATGTAATGTAATCTTCAGCTTAGCAAACAGTTTTGGAGAATTTGATGTTTTCCCATTCCCCATTCAAGCATTCTGCCCGAGAGGCGGTTTAAAGATGCCCTCAGAGTGAAAAGACTTGCCTTAAAAGGTCTTTGTCATGACTATATAATTTGTGTTCATAATTAAACACACCAGGACGGACATGTTTACATATTATTAAGTGTATTTGTCTGTTTAAAAACACACCCAAATCCAAAAGTGTCCACTTTTCGCTCTGTGAACAGTGTCTTCATCACTATGTAGCGTGTCCGTCAATCAGCACTGTTAGACTGATTTACATGACTGATTCAGAGGTTGAATAGGAAGGGTGACGGTCGATGCATAGCTTTAATGGAAAGGAAGTGAATGCAGCCATTTTAATATTAATTTCAACATGCTTTCAAACCAATATAAGGTGAAAGCATATTTCTCTTGAACAGCTCTTGCAATTATACCACATTTGAGATCGGCTCTTTGATGCTCCTTTCACTTTTCATAGAAATATCAAAAATACTTAAACGGGATGATGGAGGAACGGAATGGTAAAACATGTGAGATCCCCAGCAAAAACAGGAGGGTTGACAGGTATGCATATGTCAGATGAAGGTCAGGAGAATGAAGCACTACATTTAAAACATCTTTGAGCAATTACTTATAGTGTGCGAGTATATCTGATTGCTTTTCACACATTTTCTCCTATGCACCTATGGTTTCTTCATGTGTGCTGAGTTTAAACTGATAGCTTATAGTCAATATTTAAATTCCTGTTTTAATATAATTAATATACTTCTGGGAACCCCATATTCAGTCTACTCTTTGATAAACAGACATTTCTAAATAGCAGCATTTTTTTTTTAAATTAAGTATTTAGTCAGTTTTCACCTTATAAATGTCTTTACTTTGATTTGAGTCCTTGCACCATATTATTATTAGATTGAATGCTAATTTTCAAAATATATGTATAGGCAATATATGATGGTTAAAAGTATTACTCTGAACGCAAATTTTTGCTATTTATGTATAGGCAATATATGATGGTTTCCACCAAAAATTATGCAAGTTTTCAACATTGATAATAATCAGAAAAGTTGTTTGAGCAACAATTCTTCATGTTTGAATGATCCCAAACTTTTGACCGGTAAGTTATGAGATTGTTTGGTATATTACTACTATGCATGCACACAAATCTCACCTCGCACAACCTCCTCTATGGACTCTGTTGTGGTTGTGGTGGTGGTCGTCATTGCAATGTTGGAGGTCTGTTCACTGGTGTCTTGCTCATCGATTATATCTTCATCATCGTCCTCCTCATCTTCATCATCTTCACCGTCACCGTCTTCATCGTTGTCCCAGACTTGATCTTCCTCATTGTTGAGATCCTCATCATCCTCAGTCACTGCAGGATCAGGCTTGGCTGTGACCTGTTCTTTCAGCACGCTGTGATGCAGAGATTCATGAGTAAATTACATGTACAACATTTTATTTTAAATAAGAATTAAACAAATTAGTAGTTTTTTTTTTCAATTTTCTTTTTTCAATTTTTTATTTTGTTTATTGTTAACACTCAATTGAGTACAGTCATACAATATTTCAAGGTACATTTAAATCTCAGAATGTGACCTTAAATGACATACAATTGACCTATTATTGTCAGGTGTACTAACTATACATTCATTCATTCATTCATTTTCTTTTTGGCTTAGTCCCTTTATTAAGCTGGGGTCGCCACAGCGGAATGAACCGCCAACTTATCCAGTATATGTTTTACACAGCAGATGTCCTTCTAGCCACAAATCATCTCTGGGAAACATCCACACACATACACCACGGACAATTTAGCCTACCCAATTCACCCATAGCACATGTTTTTGGACTGTGGGGGAAACCAGAGCACCTGGAGAAAACCCACGTGAGAGAACATGCAAACTCCACACAGAAACGCCAACTGACCCAGCCGAGGCTTGAACCAGCGACCTTCTTGCTGTGAAGCGAACTTGCTACCCTGTGCGCCACCCACTAACTATACATAGTACTCAAATTTTGTAAAATTATAAAAAGAACAATAACATTAAAAAACTAAATAATAATAATAATAAAATTTAAATGATACATTAATAAATAAAAGAAAATAATAAAAAAATGTAAAGAATTTTTACATCCAGGGTGAGAACGCAAGTCATAATATAATTCCTTCCAGAATGATCTCAAATGCCCATCTTCATTATACACATGGGGATAACAGATTACACTGTGAATATATATATATATATAACTATATACATATACACACATTAGCATATATTTATCAGTTAAGCATCTTCTATTTGTTTATAGCAACAAAATCAGGTCTTCTAACTGAAATATATTCAACCCATTTCATCCATTTTCCCAGGAATATATCCTTCTTTAAATGATCTACAGAAGAGATTTTTTCTATTGTATAGATCTCAAACGTTGCATCTATCCATTTATTTTGACACTGTTACACTGTTGCCATGTTGAAACTCTACAGTCATTTTATTTTTAGATAAGATTGCAAAGATTTATTTTTCATTAGATACAGCTGTACGGGTTCATTTTTGTATCTTGAAATAAATCAAGCCTTTAATGGTCATTTAAAACATGTACAAAGTAAATAGTTCTTATTTCTGATGAGCTCACAAAAGTGTAGGAATGTGTGCTAATAAAGCATTTACTGACATGCTGAGTAACTATTATGTTTTATCCATATTATTTATTAGTTTAGTAATCATTTACTTACTTATTCTTAAAAAACACTGACTACTTTTGAATGGTTTTTAAATAAGGCAATACTTATTTTAGAAGTGAAAATTTAATCATTAACAAATTATGGAAATACAGTTAGCATGTGTATTGTATATGTGCATCTAGATCAAGAATAAAGCATTTATAGCTGTATTTATAAACAGAACATATTACGGTACAATACAACAATACAAAATACAGTACAAATTGTATGTTTTATCTATTAATGTACAGTTAATGTTTAGCAAATGATCAATGAACTGTTTGTTTAACTAATGCTTAATAAATGATTTACAGTTACTAGAAAGCAGAGATGCCCATGATAACTTTGATTTGGCCAGTCATCCCATAGAAGAAATAATGAGTGGGGGTTGGGGAATGCCTTTAATAGAGATTGTCATTTCTAATTTAATCTATCCTTTTATTTGTTTGTGTTATTATTGAGGTACAAAAAAGCTAACTCCAGTTAAATGTTTTAGATTTTTTTAATGTATTTACTGTCACTCGATGCAAAAGAAGGTGCAGCTTGAGTAGTGTGTTTAGCATCAAACTCCATTGTGCTCTAAATGCAATTGTTGGTTTTATTCTAATATATTCATGATAAAATGCTTAAAAAATGCATTTGTTAATATGTTTAAAGTAATGTTTTCTATTTATTTTTAAATATTAATTAATAAATTAAGATATTACCCGTGGCAACTTTAATGTAATATAGTTTGTTATATTTAACTTTGGCTCACAGCACTCAATTAAGTTCAGTCTTTGGCCCTTCATTAGAATAAGTTTGGGCACCCCTGCTATAAAGTGTTATCGATGTATTTTATTGATGTTTTCTAGATATAATTTAATATTAAAGTATTTAGAGGAGTTTACAAAATATATTTATGTTATCTTTAACCAAATATCCAAGATGATGATTCTGTGTGGAGTTTGCATGTGTTCTCGTGGGTTTCCACCACAGTCCAAAGACATGTGTTATAGGTGAATTGAATAAGCTAAATTGGCCATAATGTATGTGTGTGAATGAGTGTGTATGGGTGTTTCCCTGTACTGGGTTGCAGCTAGAAGAGCATCAGCTGTGTAAAACATATACTGGATAAGTTGGTGGTTCATTTCATTATGGCGACCCCTGATGAATAAAAGGACTAAAGGAAAACGAGTGACTGAATGAATGATCCAAATATATGTATGTGTATATGTATGTTTATATATAACTTGGAGCAGTACTCTCATAAAATGTTGTGAAATCAATACAAAAAAAATGATATGCAATTTTTCATGAAGAATTGTAAAACTCTACCTGGCATCAGTGTACTCAGTCTCAGCACCGCCCCACCACACGTCAGAGTTAGCCTCCTCCTGCTCCTCACTGTCCAAGTCTTTCTGCTCCTCCATTGGGCAGCACACAAACTCCACGCCCCGGAAACGGTCGATTCCACACGGCAACAGCATACCATAATCATGCAGATTCATGGAGCGATCACCACAGGACTGCAGAGGCACAGACAGATGCAGATAAAGCCAGAGAGGAATGAGGAGCTGAGTCATCATCCAGCTATATGTGGAACACACTCGTGGGTTATGAGAGATGAATTATACATCATACTCAATTATAATGTTCTTGCACCATCATTTAATGTAGAAGTAGGATGTATGTGTTCAGATGTGCAAAGGAGACTTTTGTTTAACAAGAAATAATAACAAAAAAAAAAACTTGTGTTTACAATTTTCTACATTAATACTCAAGATTAAAATTTTGTGCTGAGGATTTGTAGCATTTATGTGACCCTGAACCACAAAAGACAAGAGACATTTTTTTTTTTTAAATTGAGCTTTATAAAAAGATATAAAAGCTGAATAAATAATCTTTCCCTTGATGTATGTTTTGTTAGGACATGACATAACCAAGTTTACATGGACATCAGTGATTAAATTATTTGCCTAAATCTGAATCAGACAATAATAAGATTAAGGTGTTTACCTGAGTTGCTTTTTGAAGGTTCATTTCATGATCCCGTTAAGGCACATAATTCGATAAATGTCATTGCGTCACCATGCTATCCACATTTCCACTGGAGTTTCATGTAATTTCGGGCGTTTATTCATTCATTCATCTATTTTCTTGTCGGCTTAGTCCCTTTATTAATCCGGGGTCGCCAAAACGAAATGAACCGCCGTGTTTCATTTTTAATTTGTTGACTTTGAATGCAGTTTGGTCCTTTCACTTTCATTCAGGAACATTTTATGCTTGCCCCCCCCACCCCCACACACTTTTTTTTTGCTGCTTTTGTTTTCGCAAATCCTCTCTTGAGGATGTCATTCACGCCTGTTGTTCTCACGTAAATCCCAGAGGTCGCTGTCAACTGACTGTTTGACTGACTGAATGACTGACCGATCCACCTACCCTCCTCTTTCCCTAAACCCAACCGATACTGTTTTCAAAAGCACCGATTGATCCGCTCACCCACTTCCCTAAAACCAACTGAAAGAAGCGCATTCACCCAGAATCACGTTCAGACATGATAAACAAAGTATGAGTTTTGCCAGTATAATTGTTAACTAGGGGTGTAACGATTTATCGTTGTACGATTTATTGTGATGCAAAAATGTCACAATATGCATTGTGGCGTTATGACAATTTGATTACGATATGACGTCCGTTTTCTCTTATTAGTTGAGCTGTTTGCACGTGAGCTACGTTCCACCTGCTGTCGCACGTAAGTTCAGATTGCAGCAGCAGTAATGTTAGCAGACCAAGATGAGTGGAGCTGAAATAGAGGATGGCCCATCCTCTCAAAATCAGACGTCTGGCAAGATTCCGGTTGCACAGTCATTGCTTTAGACTTGTCCGCTTTTTGACACGCATACTGGGTCAAACATCCTAAGTTTTAAAGTCTTCACAGTGATTTACATACTTTGCACAGCGACAGGGATACCTCCTAATGGTGTTGAAAGAGTCACATACTGTATTTATAAGGTACAATTCACCCTAAAATATCATTCTGTCTTCATATAATGTTCCCACCGCAAAATCACACATGACGTGAGCTGACCGTGAGCTGTTACTACAGATGGCGGACTGATAGATGCGCGCGTATGGCAAGCCGTTTTAGCATTTAAGCCTTTGTTCTGACTATCCAATAATATATTTAGAGATATCTCTAATTATATTTTGACTAGTCATAATTATAATTCGACTAGTCAGAATGACAATTAGAGATATCTGCAATTACAATTGTACTAGTACAAAATCAGATTGGAGATATCTGCAAATATATTATGACTAGTCATATTCCTCCATTGACTTCCATTGAAAAATATTTGCAGATATCTCTAAATGAGTTTTGACTAGTCACAATTGTAATTACAGATATCTCTAAATTAATTTAATTAAATATGAATTAAATACCTGGAAATGTGGATTTTTTTTTTTTTGCACACACAAAAAACGCAAGTGACCAAGCAAAGCCTTAGCTCTTACTGTTAAATTCAATTGAATAGAAAGCTTTTTTTTTTTGCCCCTTTACTTAAATTGTTCCTTAATTTTGTCTCTGTCATTTCAATAATATTTTTAAGAAGTTTTTAATTTTGTTTTATTTTCCAGAGACAGGCCTGTTTAATTTATTTTCTTAAAGAAGGTTCAGTTTAACAAGTTAAAACAAAAGAAATACATAAAAAATAGTTTACTTGGTAAAATTTGCATTTCAGTTAAATTTTAAATTTTTATTCCAAATATCATGATACATATCGAATCGTGAACATTATATCGTGATACACATCGTATCGTGAGCTGAGTGTATCGTTACACCCCTATTGTTAACAGCTAAATATTTGGATCTTTTTTGGTTTATCCCTAAACAAAACATATAGTCTTAAACAAAACATATATCCCTAAACAAAACATAGTCTTAAACAAAACATATATCCCTAAACAAAACATATAGTCTTAAACTTAATATATATCCCTAAACAAAACATAGTCTTAAACTAAACATATATCCCTAAACAAAACATATAGTCTTAAACTAAATATATATCCCTAAACAAAACATAGTCTTAAACTAAACATATATCCCTAAACAAAACATATAGTCTTAAACTAAATATATATCCCTAAACAAAACATAGTCTTAAACTAAACATATATCCCTAAACAAAACATATAGTCTTAAACTAAATATATATCCCTAAACAAAACATATAGTCTTAAACTAAATATATATCCCTAAACAAAACATATAGTCTTAAACTAAACATATATCCCTAAACAAATCATATAGTCTTAAACTAAATATATATCTCTAAACAAAACATATAGTCTTAAACTAAACATATATCCCTAAACAAAACATATAGTCTTATATATATATATATATATATATATATATATATATATATATATATATATATATATATATATATACAGTATATATATTAAATATTTTGAAAAATGCTAGCATCCAGTGACTTCCATAGCAATAGTTTTCCTACTATGAAAGTCAATGTGTGCCAGCAACCAGCATTTTAAAACACATCTTCTTTTGTGTTTAATAGAAGAAAGAAGCTCATAAAGATTTAAAACCTCATGAGGGAGAGCAAATGATGAGGTCATTTTTATTTTTAGATGAACCGTCCCTTCAAACATATTTTCAGCAGCACAAAAGATTGATCTAAACTAAAATAGGTGCCGGTTCCAGAAACAGAAATCTGATCTGACTTTTCTGTTATTAATACGTGAAAGTGTAAATGTGATGTGGTGCGATCGCTGACCTCTTTGGCCACTGTATGCCAGTGTAGATGACTCTCGCACATGTCCATTCGCTCCTGGTGCAAGAACTTGCACTTATCTGGGACGAGGAGGGCATCGCTGACAAACTCCCCAACTGAAATAAACAAACATTTGCTCAGCAGGTGCTCAAATAGATTTCTGCTGATGTGTAAAGCATCCTGAGCAAATTTTGATGGTGTTTTAATGAATCTCATCTTAGCTGATGCAGAATGATGATAGGAAATCGAACAAGAGCCGTGCTAAAAGCATTAGTTTAATGTTCCACAAATCCAGGTTAATACCCCAGGAGTGGCAGAGTGTTCTGATGTAAGTGTCACGTTGAAGGATTTTCTTTATGTGAACACACACATACATACCCAGGCAACGGTAGGGAACAACAATGTGCGTGTGACTGCGGCACTGGCGGCGACCCATTTTGCACCAGTTCTGGATGCTGACAGGCTGGTTGGCCTCCACTACATTAGTGATCTGGAGGTCTGGGTATACCTGTGGGAGTCAAAACAAGGTACAAATTGTTGTTCGAGTGAACAGAAAAGGCATTGGCAACCCATTTTACTTTTATAATCTGACCTATTTCCGAGTGAAACAGGCTATTCAGTGAGGAGAGAAAAGGAGAAGAGACCTTGATTTTATCTATAACGAAGTGACTGGATAGTGAAAAGTAGGTTTTACATATTAGAATGTCGAAATGAGATGTATTGGTGACAAATGAATGAGACTGAGTATCTACACCTTGAAAAAACTAAACAATTAAAAGAATTTAAAGAAAGTATTTTAGCAAAAAAGGCAAATATTTAAATCATTCATTTTCTTTTCAGCTTAGTCCCTTTATTAATCAGGGGCCACCACAACGGAATGAACCGCCAACTTATCCAGCATGTGTTTTATCCAAACTTATCCAAAACATTGGTGCATTGAACAATGTTTAGACCAGGTGTGACCAACCCTGTTCCTGGAGATCGACCTCTGTGCAGATTTCAGTTGCAACCCATATCAAATACACCTGCCTGTAATTATCAAGTGCTGTTTAGGTCCTAATAAATTGGTTCAGGTGTGTTTGATCAGGGTTGGAGCTGAACTTTGCAGGAACGTCGATCTCCAGGAACAGGGTTGAGCACCACTGGTTTAGACGATGAATTGCAACTATGGCAACTGACAATGACATTATTCATGTTGTTTTTACAGAACTCTGTTTAATCATCTTTTTAATCTCAGAGTAATCGATTCTAAGTAAAATAATTTAACATGTAGTTCTCACTTTTTTAAAATACCTTCTCATTTTTATCTAAAGCACTTAATTACCAATGTGTATGAAATTTGGTATATTAATAAACGTGCAATGCAATGACGATAAAAAGATAAACAACTTCATCATTAAGCAATTGTGTACCTGTAAAACTTATGATCTGTCTAATAAAAACAGTGTAATTCAAATATGCATTCACCGGCCACTTTATTAGGTACAGCTGTCCAACTGCTTGGTAATGCAAAATTTTTAATCAGCCAATCACATGGCAGCAACTCAATGCATTTAGGCATGTAGACATGGTCTAGATGATATGCTGCAGATCAAACAGAGCAGCAGAATGGGGAAGAAAGGGGATTTAAGTGTTTTTGAACATGGCATTGTTGTTGGTGCCAGACAGACAGGTCTAAGTATTTCAGAAACTGCTGATCTACTGGGATTTTCACGCACAACAGTCTGTAGGGTAAACAGTTCAAAGTGTTGGAATGATTTATCCAGTGTTCATATTTATGTTCATGTTTATTTACATAGAACCAAGGTCCTGCGAGACACAATATTTTATTCCACTGTATGCCCACACATGCAGCGAAATGACAATAAAGCTCAACTTGAACTTGGCAACCCTCATAGATTTTGGTTAATATTTATAAGATTAAATCAAGCAGTTGTTGCAGATTTGTCAACTGCATAGCCAAGATGCAAATCTTCTGTTACAGCACATCGCAAAGGTGCTTTACTAGATTAATTTGTGGTGTAAGTGGATGTCATTGGAGTATAGTGAACTCACTGTAATGTTCAAGAAACCAGTTTGAGTTCTCAGAGTTTTGTGGCATGTTATTCTGCTGGAAGTAGCTCTCACATGATGAGTATACCAGCAGTCTGGTCAGTCAATATGGCACATTCTGATACTATCAGCCAAATGTCACAGCAGAAAACAAGACCAAACCAGACCAATTTCTTCTTAGCCCTGGTGAATTGTAGTGTTGGTTTCAGTTCTTATTCTGATTTGAGTGTGACCAGTGTGCTCTTCATCTCCAGCTGTAGCTTGTGTGCTTCAAGGTTTGACATGTTGAGTCTTCATAGACGCTCTTCTGCAGAACTCAAGTATTTTGATATACTGTTGCTTTTCTATCATTTTAAACCAGTATGGCCATTATCCTTTGACTTCTGGCATGAACAAGGCACCACAGACCACAGTGAAACCACAGACCTGCTGCTCACTGAACATTGTCTGTTTGGACCATTCTCTGTGAAGTTTACTGATGTATGTGCATAAAAATCCTAGCCGATCAGCTGTTTCTGAAATACTCAGAGGAGCCCCTGTGACACCAACAAATAAATGACAATTTCAAGGTTAATTAAACCACTTTTCTTCCCCATTCTGATGCTCAGTTTGAACTGGAGCACATCCTCTCGACATCTCAACAATCCATGCCTGGCTGCATTAAATTGCTGCCATGTGATTGGTTAAAAACAGGGGCATCTAATAAAGTTTTTTTTTATTGTAAAACATTGTTAAAAGTAAGGGATAATGTACACCCAGAAGGTTTTTAATCGTAGAATAAACCCAGACACAAAGCAAATACATATGAATGGGAGTGCAATTATGGATTTGAATGCATTTACTGACGTTAATGGTGATTCAAAGTTCCCGGGTGAGTCTGTGTTGTTAAGAGGTTTTTAACTGGGAATAACATAGCTTGGAATGCCGCAATTGACAAATCAGAAAACTAGTCCACACAGCTGAGCAGTATCGTTTTTACTATGTCCAAAATACACAGTTAAAACAGTCATAGTGTAAAATATTGCAGTTAAAATGAATATACAGGGTGAGTCAAAAATAATACCACATCTTTAAAAATCAAAGAAACACTAGGGAACCTTGGGTTATGAATCAATGTGAAGAGTACCTAAAGTTTTTTTCAGTAGAAAACAAGTTGATAGATGTTCAATATGGCCCCTTCCAGACACATCAACCCAAAAGTTATCATATTTTTTTTAATCACCCTGTATAATTATGGTAACACTTTATTTTAAGTCAGGATTTATGCTACTAACAATTAATCTTGATGCTATTAGCTCAATAAATTGTATTAGCTGGGTATTAATAATTAGAAAGGTGGAACTTGGTAATAGGTTTTGGGTAGGATTAGGGATGTAGAATAAAATTATACTTTATAACTACTAAAACTGTTAATATTGCGATAATAAGCAGATAATAAGCCAGTTGAAAATAGCATAAATTGTGACAAACTAAAGTGTTACCACAGTTTCTATTTTAATATATTTTAAAATATTTTTTCCTGTGAAATCAGGGAAGAGTTTATAGCAGTCATTACTCCAGCCTTTTGTTCTGTCACATCCAGAACCTTTTATTAACTTTTAATCAATGTTGGAAGCAGTTGCATTATTTAATATTCTTGTGGAAAATGTAACTTTGTTTTTCAGAATTCTCTAATGTACAGAAAAAAGCATTTCTTTTAAATAGACATACTTTTGTAACATTATACATGTCAATACTGTTCCTTTATAAATTTCCTCATCAAATTCCTACACACTATTTTTCACATAAGAGTATATTTGAACTAAATCATATATCTGTCACACTGCTACCTCAAAAACAGCATCAGTCATAAAAAAAAATCTCATAATAATCAGTCACAACATAGTACCTGACTTGCTTATGTAATGCTCAGAATCCCCATGGTCATTAATTACTTTGACTGTCATTATATAATTGATTTTAATTACTAAAGTAATCACGATACAATAATGTTTAACAACCTGCACGAGCTATTGACGACTAACGCTGACACCGCAGCAGAGCTCAATGTATTCGCACGTCTTGTTTCATATCTCTTTTCTCTCTCATTACCTCTTGGCAGTATTGAAGGATGCCCTCTTTGGTGCTGATGCAGCTCTTGGTGCCAGTTGGATCAGGCTCCCACTTGCCACTCTGGACGTTGATATGCATGTTGAGTTTCCCACAGAACATGGCCACCTGAGGCTCCGCCAACAAGCCCACCGAGTCATCCGACGGCACCTGCCAACAGCACAACCGGCAGGAACATGAGGAACCATTATCACATAAGCCAATGATCTTTAGACAGCTTCACGATGGGGCCTTTGTCAGCAATTATCGAGTATATGATTTGCTTGATGAGTTGATAAGAATATTAAGTAGATCTTTTTTTTTTCTCTCCCAAAAATTGACATTCACATTCAGTTTTTTATTATGTCAAAGACAAAAGAAGATATTTTGAAGAGTGTGGGAAACCAGTAGCCATTGACTTCCATAACAATATGTATATATCTATTTCATCTAGTGTTCAAACTACTTGTTTAAATTGAGCTGAACCTACACAATTTTTTTTTGCTTTTTTTGGGGGGAAAACTTAATTGTTTTATGTTCAATCAACTAAAATTTGTAACAACTAATTTTGTTGTCCCAATACAAATTGATTGTGTGGAGTCCAGCATTTTCTACAGTGTATGTAAGTCAATGGCTACCACTTACCAACGTTCTTCAAAATATCTTCCTTTGTGTTCAACAGAAAAAAGACTTGTAACCACCACTTCAGAGTGAGTAAAATAGTAAGTGCTTTTTTATTTTTGGGTCAACTTTCCTTTTAACTGACAGCCATAATTATATGACTTACAGAGAGAGGCAGGAAAATAATGTAGCACAAAAGAAACTGCAACTGCCTGTCTGGCAGGAAATTACTTTAAATATACATACAAACAATATTGCACCAAATGTAGTCCCAACTTGCCGACTGGATAAACAGTTTCCTATTGAACAATGTTAGGTTTATGAGTTCTCAGCATGTACTGCAATGTTAATAATTCATGACAGAAATATTGCATGAAGGACTATTGTATTTGTCATCACTACTAGCAGTGTTCAAACTATACTACCGCTTTTTGGTTTTAAGTATTGAAGCAATGGCTGCATCTGAAATTGCATACTTCCATACTACATAGTATGGTTAAAACAGTATGTGAGCCGAGTAGTATCTCCGAATTTACAGAATTCAAAAAACAGTATGCGAAAAGTACCTTGTTGACCTACTACTTCTGGAGAGATTCTGAAGTACGCATCTGATGGATGCTATGCTATCCCATGATCCACCACCAGAGAATTCATGAATGGGTGTGAAGCAACGTAGCTGATATAGGTACGTCACATGATTATGACAAAATGGTGGATGTAGTACATCTGATTTCCATTCATACTACTTATTCATACTGTATAGAACATACTTTTTTAAGTATCAAGTAGTAAATTCAAATTCAAATGTAGTACTTACTTTGCAGGCGATTTCAGAAGCAGCCTCTATCTTAGTATTTAGGCAGTGGTTTTGTGAAATATTATTTATAATTAATTAATTAGATATACTTTTTTCTCTGTCGTTTTGGTGCATTTTTCACAACACTATACATTTGCACAACAGTTAATGCATTTCTCAAAACAATTAGCACAAACTGCAAAACCTAGTTGATAACCTGCAAAAGCATGTCACTTGCTCAAAATGGATAGCTCATTCCTCAAAAGCAAGTATGAGTCAATGAAAGTGTCAGTGTCATCAAGATGAAAAGTCCTGACACCATTGTTTTTGAACAAGATTGTCAAATGACTATGTCCTGTTTTCATTATGAGTTTACTCTGGAAATTTATTCCAATGCAAAAAAGTCAGATTTTGGTGACACTTCCTGAAAATGCTCAAGACAGCACTATATACTATTTGCACAGCCATTTGAAAACTAGGGTAAAGTTAGACATCACTGCATTTATTGAGGTATCCGAGTACAAGACACTGAATATGTATTGTTCACATTTTTATTGCATTTGTTCTCTGCAATTCTAATTTACTCACAGCATTGTGCAAAAGAATGAATACACCCGTATTTACAAAAAAACAGAAACTTCCTTTGTGTTGAACTGTGCACAACTGTAAACAATATTGCAGTACATAATGGAACTGAACCTGCAACATACACAGGTCGGTAAATCATTCATCAAATTGTTGAATTTGGACATTTACAGGAAAAAAGATTTAATTTTTTATCAAATTTGCTTGACAGATTTTGACAACTAGTTCAACATTTTTGTATGTAATGACTCAAGTAATGAAATGAGGACTATTCGTTTTATAAGGAATGACTATTCAGCATTTACAAGTTTCATTAATTTTGACTGACATGGCATAAGCAAATGATAATGGTATAAAACAGAGTTGTATGAAGGCAAGTGATGCTTGTCCAAATGCAATTTGTTGGAAGGAATGAGAAACTGCTACTATGATGTGCACAAATGACTAATTGTTTTGAGAAATGCATTAACTGTTGTGCAAATGTAAATAGTGCAAGAAATGCACCAAAGCCACTGAGAAAATCTGTAATATAGATAGAATACAGCATATGACTATATCATAAAACAACCGCGAATCCCCACCCCTTACCCAGGTAGACTTATTCTATAATGACAGAAGTAAAAAAGTACAAATAAATAAATATAACATAATGAGATACATAAAGTACATATAAACAAAAGGCTGTACAATAGAAGGTAGAAACAAACGATTTGACAATATCAAAAGCTATAATCCAGGACTTAACAGTTTTTGACTGAGCTCTATGTATGAGTGCTGCAGAAAGTTCCATACAAATAATGTCCAGTAAACATAAGCCCCATTGACGTCTACTCATTATATGAGGATGGATCCAGTGGCAGACCAAATATTAGATTATTTAAATACAACTTAGTTGCTTTCTTTCCAAATATTCACAAAAATGAGTCTTCACATTCACTCTTCTTCATTTCAAGTGTAATCTGTCACCCCAATATGCTTGTTGTTTAAGTATTTTTACTACTAATAATTTTACTGATACTAATACTTCATTATAAATAGTGTTAAGACATAAATAGTTTTCATTTTCTTTACTTTTTTTAACAGCCCCTAAGCTTTTAAGTGGTACAGATTTCTCATCATTCCCTACAAAATGCGTAACTAGGTAACTAAAAGGAGGGTTTGTTTTTCTGTATGCTATGCCACACTCTTAATGTATCACTCAATGCTCTCTCGTAATTACTGTCTCACTTGCTACTTGAGCACTGAAGAATATGTTAACTTGGAAAGATCTACGTGTGCAATAGTCTCACACGAGTCAAACTGCAAGCAAATCTCCATGCTGACTGACAGCGTAGCATAATGACATTTTTCAAAATTAAAACAATCACAGCAAAAACTCTGACAAATGCTTGTAAACAAATATTAATCTGTCACAGTGCCAGTTATGTAATGCACAATATAAAACATCACCGTCCTATTGAGTTCAGAGCTAAAAGCCTTAAATACAATCTAATCTCCTGAAGTGGGTTAGAAGAAAAAAATAAAAATAAGAGAGTGACAAATAAAATATGTGTTTGGGTTAAAGGAGTTTCTGCAGGGTCCCAGAAATGACCGGAAGAGTAATGGAAAGTATACATGTAGAAAACACAAAGCCAATTCATAAAATAAGTCAGTTAGAGAGAGAAAGAGAATAAAAGATGTCCTCTTTTGTGTGTCTTTGGCCTGGCCTCGACCCAGTGTGTCACAAAGGTCTCTTACAACCAGACCCACCCAGTCTGTTCAACTGAGCGTGAGGAATTATGGGACTGTTGTGTTTTCCCGCTTTTGTCCTGGTAACAAACAGTGGAAGTGCTTCTGTTGCCAGCTGTCTCAAATATGCATCTGTCTCATTAAGATAGACAGATAGATAGATAGATAGATAGATAGATAGATAGATAGATAGATAGATAGATAGATAGATAGATAGATAGATAGATAGATAGATAGATAGATAGATAGATAGATAGATAGATAGATAGATGTGAAATCTACTTCACAATTAGGACTAATGTAGAAAGTCTCAGGTGAACGCAATCATGCTGTAATGATGGTATTTAAATAATATGAACAAGATAAAAGTGATATAATTATATTTTTTTATCAATATTTATGCTCTGTGATAATATTGCAAATAATGTTCATTTAATGAGCAAGCTGACATTATTGATTATGTCACTGATTTTGCAAAAAACCCTGGCCAAAATCTATCAGGAGTCCAAATGCATTCACTGAGTGATCCGAGGGATTATTCACCCAAACATCAAACATGTACTCCCAATATACTCTTTCTTTCTTCTGATGAACACCAAAGAAACTGAAAACCTGTAACCATTGACTTCCATAGTAGGAGAAACTAACACGATGGAACTCAATGGTTACAAGTTTTCAAGAAAGAAACTAATAAAGATAAATGGTGTGTAAATGATTACAGAATTTTCATTTTTGGGTGAATTGTCCCTTTAAGCCTATAAGAATGTCCATCAAATGAATGGTTAATTTTAGTTATGAATGCAAAAAAAAATACCTGTGTTTTTTTGTATACACATATTTATAAGATGTGATTTATAAGATACTTTTAGGGTTGCACAATATTGGAAAAATCTGTTATTGTTATTTTATTTTTCTGCACTAAATATTTTGATATGAATACCGTTTCACAAGATGGTTTAAACTGCATTATTTAACAGTTTTCTGGGGAGTCTAACAGTATTGAGGTATAGAAATTGGATAACTGTAATAGAAAAAAAATGCTTTTCTTACTTTTTGTCTTGTTTCTAGTCCAAATATCATAAAATATTAGAGCAAGTAAAAATATTGTTTTGTTTTCACCATCAGAAGAAATAATTTAGAATTAAGAGATTTTCCTTAAAACAAGCTACAGTTGAAATCAGAATTATTAAATCCCCTTTTATTTTTTTTAGTTTTTAAATATTCCCAAATGATGTTTAACAAAGCAAGGAAATTTTCACAGTATGTCTGATAATATTTTTTCTTCTTGAGGAAATCTTATTTGTTTTATTTTGGCTAGAATAAAAGCAGCTTTACATTTTTTAAAACCCTTTTAAGGTCAAAATTATTAGCCCCTTTAAGCTATATATTTTTTTCGATAGTCTACTAAACAACCCATTATTATACAATAACTTGCCTAGTT